CGACCACATCCATACCCTTGAGTTGATAATGGAAAAGTATCAGGAAAAACAAAGAACACTCTATATATCATTCATAGACTACCAAAAAGCCTTTGATACAGTAAGACATAACAGCATCTGGGAAAGCTTGAAAGAACAGGGAGTAGAGGAAATATATATAAAAATCATCAAATCCATATACAAAAACAATAAAGGTAAAATTAAGCTTGAAACATTAGGCCCTAGTTTTCCAATAGAACGAGGAGTAAGACAAGGGGACCCGCTGTCTCCAACAATATTCATAGCTGTTCTTGAGTCGATCATTAGCAAGCTAGATTGGAGTAAACAAGGTCTATACATAGACGGTACTTACTTGAGTCACCTGAGATTCGCGGATGACCTAGTACTGTTATCCGAGTCATCTTCCCAACTACAGAGCATGGTAGAAACCCTGAACCAAGCTAGTGGAAAAGTAGGCCTAGAGATGAACATTACAAAAACTAAGACAATGACAAACAGCTCTCAAAGACCAATAACAATCAATAACAAACCATTGGAATACGTTGAAGATTATGTCTATCTGGGAAAAACCATAAGTTTTCACAGAAAAAATAAAAATACAGAAATAGAGAAAAGAATAAAATTAACATGGAACAAATTTTGGGGTCTCAAGGAAATTTTTAAAGGTGATCTACCACAAGACATTAAAACCAAAGTCATGAATTCAAGCCTCTTGCCTTGTTTGACATATGGTTGCCAAACGTGGAAATTCACTGCTGAAACAAGAAAAAAGATAATCGTCTGTCAGAGAGGACTCGAAAGAAGTATGCTAAAGATCAGAAAATCAGATAAAATACGCCATACTAAAATAAGAAAAATAACCAAAGCAACAAATGCTTTAAGCTACGCAAAAAAACTGAAATGGAAGTGGGCAGGACATGTTGCCCGGCTAACTGACCATAGATGGACTAAAAAAGTAACTTTCTGGAAAGGCCCACTAGGCAAAAGAACAAAAGGTAGACCTATTACGCGATGGGAAGACGACATTAAAGCGATAGCTGGTCGAAATTGGAGTGAAGTGGCCGAGGACAGAGATAAATGGGCGTCACTGGAGGAGGCCTACACCCAACTTGGGGTTCCAGTAGATTAAGTATTTAAAAGGAATATATATGTATATATTTTTAACTAATATAGATTAATAACATGAACTAACACTAAAAATAAATTGTAAAAGTGTAAACTTATATAATACTGGAAATAAAAGGCTTTTTTTTTTTTTTTTTTTTAATAATTTTAACAGAGGACTGAGGTTTTTGTGACTAAAACATAATAAAAAGTAACTGACTATGAAATTGGTTTTTGTATCGTCAATAGTCTTTCATTGCGCAAAATTAAACTTTTAATTTTCTTATTATTACGTCCATTTTATATAGATTAGCTTAGTGTCATCATTTAGTTTTTTTTCTCTAGCAAATTTGTAAAAAAAGAAGCGTAATAAAATCAAATTTCTAATATTGTACCAAATTGGTACCTACATCAAAGAAGATTTCACAAGATAGGGGTCAAAGCTAGCTCATCGGCGAAACGAGCTTTTTAAATCAGATAAATGTGAAAATTTCTGATAGGAAAAGTACACAGTGTAAAACGAATTGGATTTTATACGGGTACCTATATAAGTATTCACTCGTAATATTCACATCAGATTAATCTCATGTCTTTGAAGCTAAATCATCATCAATTCTGTGTAGTTTCCATTATGAAATATTTAACATCTTCAATATTAACATAGTAAGCTTTTACATAACTACTCAATTGTACCTTCTACTAACAGATCTTGACATAATTGGTGTATACTTTAATAAAATATCATTTTTATTAGACACATATTAAAGACGTGTATCTTCATGACAGAAAATAGTAATATGTTTGTTTTTGTAAATTAAAACATTTAAGGCATTTAATAAAATCTACATAAAAAAGACGCCAGTTTGCAAGTGCTCAAGTAGGTACCATTGTTTTGTATTTATAAAATTTTATAATTATTTACTAACATAAATGTTAGTAAATAGATTAGAATAGAATAGAATGATAGATTAAAAAATACTAGGTTAACGTTACTTTTAACTTACGACACGTATATCCCTAACATACTGCTTGCATTCCTCACCATGTTTAGGTCGTTGCGGTCATGATGTCAATCATGTTACGAACTACGAAGATTCACAATAGTAAATCAAAACAAACCAGTTAACCTACCTTCTAACGGTTCTCAATCGAGATGCTATCAATACATTTATATTTTAATGGTTTCTCTTTCTTGTTTAGATTAACATTTGTTTCTATTTTTGTTAGAACAACATTCATTTCTTTAGTTTTAACTTCGCTCACTTTTTCTTGATAAGGTCACAGTACTTGCTTTTTAGTTAAAAAAAATATCGATAAGTTCATAAGTAAATATCTTATAGCTGTGTGCTTCCTGAGCAATAGTTATAAAACTTATACAATAAAAACATTTTTTGAATTAGATATTAAAGGATAAAAGCCTAACAAAGTAGAAAGTAACAAAGCAGATCTTAAGGAATAGCAAAACATCCCAGATCTAGGAAATTCGCAATATTGTAAGTACATTGATGCTATTATCTTTTCAAAGGGGTTCTATTCACGAGTTTAAAGCTCGTGATATCGGCATAGTGCTATGTAGTGCCTATACATGTCGGCGGGCACACAATGGCTGGGTGCACAAGGCTGCATTTTCAGGGTGAGCGGTGCCGGAGTGCAGTTGCCCGTTACCCCCCTCCCTCGCCATTGTACTGGTTTGTATGAAAATACAGAAAAAACTTTCCATGTGTGTCACCACTCCGAATAAAATTGTATTTTCTTTCTTTACAATCTGCTCATAGCAACTAGTGCCATTGTTACCAATTCCATAAACGATCTAACTTCTATCTATAGCAAAAGAGCTATTCTATACATATAAACCATTTCCGCTAAATAAATTCCGATATAATATTTACTACTAACAGTGGTCATTTTCTCATGTTTAAAAACAAGGCATCTATAAGATACATGGTACAAATAGTAAAAAAGTAAGTTATTAAATAGATCACTATTTATAAAAATATAGAAGAGTATACACAGGCTTCATCAGAAGTACCATATATTTTTATAGAACTGATGACTAACAAATTTGATACAGCTGATAGAAGGAGTAGCTATATTACTTGCAATAAAAAGCGAATACCAAAACTTTGTCTGTAGTCATGTGTCTGGAAGTAAGTCGAAATAAATCTAAGTTCGAATTAAACGAAATAGCAATGATAATTTAACTTTTAAGAATATATATATTAATGCTAAATTTATAACACATCCAACCATGGAACTTATAAAGTAAGACTTATTCTTCTTTAATATGCGTACCAACAATGATAAAATGATTACGGTCCTCAATGACGTTCACAAACGATAACAATATTATATACATACATAAGTTTAAATCGTAACCGCCCGCAGTATCAAATACCGACAAATCAGTTCATAATTAGCATTTAAACGAGTCCCCCTGTGAAGCTGATGTATAATTAATCTAGGTGCAGTCTGAATCTACACCCTTATTTGCATTCTCTATAAAAGTTAGGCTATTTGCATATATGTATTTCCATTGAAAACATATGTGTAAGTCTAGTTTACCGTAACTATAACAAGGTGGTTTTGTTTACAAAATCTGAGTTCAGGACCCATGGAATCAAAAGTAAAACATGTGTTTAAAAGAAAACTGAATTGCAATTATTTATTTTAACCATGAATTTTTTTATTTCAAGCTTTATTAAATATTCTTATATTTTTCTCGTATATTAAATAGGAAATTTGTTTGTTTCAACCGAGGTAAAGCTTATCTACTGATTTTTATTTCACAAATAAAACCAGTAAATAACGGACGTTTAAATTACTGAGAGATAATTGCTCAAGTGAAAATATACTTTCTTCTGCATTGACTAGTAAACTGGTTGAAAATTTCCCCTTAAGAAATGCAATGCAATATATAATATTGTAAAATATTTATTTTATACATGAGAATGAGTTTATTAATACCTTATATCTTATTGATTTAATGTAATTTTTGCACTTTCAATTGTCTCTTTTTAATATTTCCCTTACTAGAATTGCCTGAAACTACTGCTATCTAATCCAGTGAAATAAGTATGCAAATATCATAGTCGTTTTGGGTTCATCAACGTACAGCGCTTAATAGTGGCGACCATACTTTATGTATAGTTTACAATAAAAGGTTTTTTTTAACTAATTTTTAAACTTTAAAGTATACGAGTACAAGGATCTTTCCTTACATATACAAAGCTTAAGCTAGTAATAACGATAAGCTAAGTTCTGTAAGCCTTCTTTGATTTTCTACAATACATAACGTTACACTGAGGAATCTAATTGAGGACCTGCGCCCGTACTGTCGCTGTCTGTAACGCTTTAGGAATTAACAGAGTAGGGTACTGGCAAAACTAAAACCAAGCCGCGATCGCCGTACACTAATACTGAGTACCCAAATCAGTGAAGTTGGTAAACGACCGAATTGCAGTTACTTGACACATTATGAATGGGTCAAGCCAGTCACAATCACCATATTTTACGACTAACGAGGAAGCGAAACTAATAACGGATACGTATAACAAATCTCTTGACCGCATACCAATGCAATGGAATGCTATTGTTTACTAAAAGAGCAAATGTATAAGTATTTACCTCACATACTCAGTAATTATTAATAATATCCATAAATAAACTAACCATACATCAAAATTTAAACGTGTGATTTTATAATTATATGCATAATTTTATATGGAGTAAAATACTTCCCCCGTATAAGTATAGTAGTTAGTTATTTCAATAATTGAAATGCATACATACTTAAACAACAAAAATTTCTGTTCAAATAAAATTAGATTAAATTATGTGATTCTACAACATTATTATATTATTACTCTATATTAATCACGAATTAATACAATAAGTACTTACGCATTATCAGTGACATCGGAAGATTCATCCAGTTCCCCTATAGTGTCGAGGGAAGCACCGGAACCATCTTCTCGTGGGTCAACGGGTGGCGGGGGCGGCGCCGTAGTGGGTCTTATACAGGTTTGAGTTTCATTTGAACTCTCTACGAATTGGTTTTTTGGTACGAAATCAATTAAACGAGGTAGTATTTCAGGAACTGCAGGTACCTCCACTTTATCCGCAGTTTTATTATTCATTTCAGCCTCCGAGCGTTGTAGCCATGTTTCAATGCAATTTTTCTTTGTAGGTGTTAAAAGCTGATCGACTATTGGATTTGGTGGCGGTTCTGGAATCGGAATTGGTTTACGTTTCCTTTCGCTTGCAGACCGTTCCACTTTTGTATTACGAGGCATGGGCTTGGGCTTTTCTTGAACACTGTCTTGTTTATTTGAGACTTTTTCCTTCTTTTCGGCGTTAGGCATAATATTTTCATCTACAGTGTTATTATTATTTTTGTCACTTAGCAGTTTTTTATTACTGATTAAATTATTATCTTCGGAAACTTGTAAATTAGTAGATGCCACCGTTTTAATTTTTAAGTTATTGGAAACTAAAGATTTATCTAATATCATACAATTCTCATTTATATCTGTTTTCTGTTCTTTTAACTTTTTAATTGACATATCTTTTAAAATATTATCATCGATATTCTCAATGCTATTTAAAACTTTCTGTATATCAATTGATTTTGGTTGCATAATAGGTGTTGACGGGATACTATTTTCAACAGAATTTGCCATTGACCCTAATCTATCAATAACTGTTGATATTGAACTTCCCGTATCGTCTGATTCTGCATCAGCTAAAGCTAAGCAACGCTCCCATTCGTTAGATAACAAATCAATATAAACTTCAGCTTCTGGGGGAAATGCTTTGCCATCTGATAGCCGACGAGCTAGGCGTCGCACCTGTTCGGGAGATCCTTTCTTTAAACAGGCAAGGCTTTCTTTGTTTTGTCTAAAAAGATGACTATCGAATGAAGATTTACGAGATAATTTTGTAACATTCGTATTTTGGCTGCTTGTTAAATTTTCAGTTTTAGTCGGTTGCTCTACATTAATAAGAGCATTTTGCTCACCAACAGTGGGTAAAGTAGTTTTGTCTTTAAAAGAATTTTTCTTGCCTAATTTCCGTGGAGGAACAGGTGGAGGTAAAGATGTTGGCCTTGTTATTTCATTTACCAGAGCTGTCGTAATTGGAGCTTCTTTTTCGTTTAACATTTTAATATCCATTTTATCACTTGATTCAAAATGACGCACGAGCAAAGTCAACTTTTCATCTGAATCTTTAAGCCGACGTACACAATCAATTCTGGTAAGTTCGGAAACTGAAACGCCATCTATAGCCAGTATTTCATCGCCAGGTAAGAGTTTACCCCATGGGGTGGTCGCGTTCGCTGCCGGGCTGTCATCAGCACATGATTGAACGAGTAACCGCCTTACATTCTCAGCAGCAGCTGATCCACCTTCAAATTTAAGACCCAGGCCAAGCCGAGCGCCTCTTGGTCTCTGGACAGTTATTTCTGCAGCGCCACCCGCCGCCCCAACTGTGAGAACAGTAACAAAACTTGGATCCAGTACTGGAGGCTTATTTTCGCCTACTGGTACTATTGTAATAAATTCCTCTTCCGCTGCACTTGTCTCCATACCGCGTCCGACGCGCCGCAACCTTTTAATATAGGCCCAGCTTTAGGTCCCAATCTGAAAAACATTACATTCTTACAATTCATATAATTTATATTTGGCAAACCACGGATACATAAACTGATTTTATTTATTATACTAGGAAGTACATTAAACGTCGATTTATAGCACATTATATTAAAATATCTTACAATATAAACTACTATGTAACTCTAGGGCTGAGTAAAATTATATTAGTCTTTATTGTTATGGTCTCACTCACTCACGCTAAAAGAAAACTTTCGATTGACTTGAAAGTATTACAAGCGTCAATGAACCAACAGCCACATCATTGGTGACGGAGATGTGGGTCAGTAGTATCAAAGCCAATTGCAGATGTTGTTAACCAAGTTTGCGGAGATCGGCTACATAGGTTAGAGCCAGACCAAGGGCTACCAGTCATTGTTATTATACCAGTCATTGTTATTATACACACTAGAATTCATAATTATACAAAGTCATATGGCTACGATTAGCTACTCAAGTTTCCGTTAGATAATTAGTTATTTTATCTTGAAATTTAAGTCACGCTACATACACATGTTAATGGGCGTTACAGAAATTAATTAGGTATAATTTTGACTACAAAATAAAGGAAGTTTTATTTCTACATACAGGATAGAGTGTGTTAAACTTCTGTCGATAAACGACTTCCCATATAGTTCAAGTTAAGATTGAAAACAATTCTAAAGCTTTTATACGGTTCAACAATCATTTAAAACCAATTCACGCAAAGGAGTATTGCACTTCACAAACGACCTCGGCATGTATTCGCCAAAATGAGAATGTTGAATCAGTGCATACATATGATTTTACCGAATAAACAAAGAAAATGCACGTACCAAAAATTACATGAAACAGCTGACTATAACCAATTACAACGAAATATGTCATAACATCATCAACATTAAATTAATCAAGAAACGTTATTCGATAGAACTCGACGCCATCAAACCGTTACGTGTTAATGTCACGACTTTTATACATAATTTTGACTTCATTGATGATAATGTTAACATTTATGAATATTTATGCATTACTAGACTATTGTTCTACTGAGAAATATGATAGTTTCACAGTTAGTGAACAACTGGGCTAAACAGTTCAAATCTTAATTTGAAGGTTGGACAATATGTATTCAAACACATGCAGAACTTCAGACACGATACTTTTTATCAAGTGTTTATGTAGTATTTAGTGTGAAATGATGTAATTTTCTCTTGGCCTTAGATTAAATGAGAGTAGGTGCATTGCAGTACATCATTTAAATAAAAACATATAAGATATAGAATTTAATATAATACTATCGTTTTAACACCATCATTACTTTTGTGAATATTTTGTGTATGTTTTGGTTTTAAATTTTTTATTTACTATATCTAGTATCTACTGATTGATTTATATATATATATATATATATATATATTATGTTAAAATAGATACCTACTTGAGATAAACCATTATCGGTCATTACATATTTATTCAGTTAAACAATGCTACCTTAACATACACGAATGCACACGCGTGTTTATATAACACTTTTTATACTCTTTAATAGAAAGTTTATTTTTAAGATTGCCAATTACGTTTCGTTTAAAATCTGTAAGACAAGGAAATTTATATTTTTAAATGTAATAAAAAATCATGTATTATATAACAACCAAGCATTTATACAATTTCTTCGATACTACGATATGTAAAAAATCTCATTTAGTACTCGAAATCCGAAAATTTACTAAAAACAAAAACAAAAGTACAAGGTTAATCTCCTTTCACATCTTCAAGTGTTTTCCTGTGCCATTCAGATGCGACCCGCGAAAACATTACAACATCCGTTATTATGTAAAATATTATAAATGTTTTCTAAACATTTTGCAATTTAATATTGGCTTTCGAACCTGTGACTCCAATGGCACGCGACATTTACATAGTAGCTCGGCGGGTTTAGTGCCACACCAATCCAATTATAATGTTCAATTTATATATATATAGCATTTTATGTAAAACTACTAACCGTCTGGCACACTTGAACTGAATTAAAATAAATTTATTAATCTAATCATAAAAATACTCCTGAATTTTTTGGCGAGAGGTGGAAAAACTATTATTATAAATAAACGTATTTTTTCCTGTAAAACCACTAAAAAAGAGAAAAAATACGTTCATTTATGTATAGATAAGGTTTCTTAGAATGGCCATACAATCTTGGAATCACAAAGATTATCCTTAATTAAAATTATCTAGAAACTAGAACATTTTCTGTAGTTTGTGTGACATGTTATATAATCTTTATATGAAAAGGTAAAAACTAAAATAAAGGGTAAAACCTACAAATAATTCGTTGGGAAGATTGAACTGCACGATTTTTAAGGTTTTGTAATACAACGATTGCCTAATAATAAAAATCACATCGGTGGTTCAGGTGTTCAAATAAAGCGATATAAAAAAATGATTTCATCAATGCAAAGTGCGTTGACTACAAAAGTTTGATGTAAATTCGTTTTAATTACGAGTATTATTAATAGCCATTAAAAGAATGTATTTTATTAAATTAGGTTTTATAATATTTTAATCCGCCACTGTTAGTACAAATAATACTAAAAACTAAATTGGCTTAGACATGTTTGACTTGAAGTTGCAATAATTTTCACCTCCAAATTATGCTGTGTTGATTACAATTCGCAAAAAATATAGCAAATGAGTCTTTTGCCCTGAATATCATTATACATACATACATGAAAGATCTCCGTTAAAAACGGGTTGTTAGTTTTTGCCAATTTATTTGCATATTAAATACTTTTATTAACTGTTACTAAATTGGTTCCCACACTAATATTATAAATGTAAGTATAATAAGTATGTGTTTTGATTATATGATAGATTTGATTATAGATCAATATGTACAATGTACATAGCATGACTTATTCATTTAGTATAATCATATACTATTATGAGACACAATATGAGTAATATGAATCACGACTGTCGCTATATTTTATAAGATTGTAATTATCTAGTGACGCAGTTTATAAATGTTAATAATATTAATACTTTGGCTTGTCAGTCAACAATTATTTAAACTTAATTTATATTGTTTTCGTTGGACTATCGAAAAGATTTTTGTTTGTTGATAATTTGTACTTTAAATCTTGTTATAAGTAAAATATCGTTTTTACACATCTATTATATTAATTTGGAGGTTTTATCCCGTTCGCTTAGCTAAATAGAAGTGTTTAGTTTATATACAATTTTAAATTCGTTTACCTAAACGCCTTTTGATCTTATACAAATCAATTCTATACACCTGGCAATAAGTTCAAGATTCCTAGTATTTAAGCTTGGTAGATTAAACCACGAATGACCAGGCGATGGGCGTCATTCGCATGACATCAGACATTTGTTACGGTCACGTTGCAAAGCTGAGTTGAGGTGAACATCCTAATGTCTCAGACTGAGATCTATTTCCAAATTCAATAACAGAAACTCGTTTTCATCTACAATAGTGAGTCGTTATTGATTTACAGTTATGCAGAAATAATGTCTCTGTTTTGTGATTTGTCTATTACTATTTGTTTTTAGTATTCGATATTTTATATCATTAAGGTTTTAAGGTTTAGTTATGATAGGTATGGGTTGTTAGTAAATAACTTAATACTTTGTTTATTTCTACAGTTAAACAAACTCAACGATACTGTGAATTTAAGATAAAAGAAAAAAAAAACTTAACAAAAATTACTGACTGTCGTGATTGAAACGTCACGAAATAAAGAGAATATTGTAGCTAATAGCTAATTAGACAGTCATAAAAAAAATAAAAACGGAAAATCTGCGTAATATAACTAATAAAACTAAACAAACTGAATATTAATCAGAGATGATTTCATCGCAAGATTTATACAAGGGAAACAGCAATTATTAATAATAATAATTTAGTTGAATATGACCGCAAAATTCAACTAAATTATGTTACTTAATATTTACAGTATTTTGTTACTAATATCGTAGAGTTCTCTAAATTATATAGCGACTAATCTATATAAAACGATGTTTTTAAAAAGAAGTTGTTCATAATTTCAAACAATATATTGGGCGGGCGGAAAAGGAAATTCAAGCAATACGAGCGGGCACAGAGGGCGCGTAGAACGCGTGAAAAACCTGGACCCGGGATCGTAGCAACCCGCGTAGCTTACCGCCCTTCCCCCCCTTAGCCTATTAAACGCACGCGGTGCTCATTTCGATCCCACCCGCTTCCCGCGCGGACTTGTCCCATATATCTAACACTCATTTTCCTTCTACTCACCACAACGGTATTCGTGTTAATTTATCTTCAAACAAATCACGCTTTCATTCACGTTAGTCACTTATAGTGAGTTCACAACTCAAACATTTTAGCGTCGCGTTACGAAAATGGAAATAAAAGATGAATGGTGTAGCGCGGCGCGGCGGTGCGGCTCGGTTCGCACACGGGACAGCGAACAAGCGCGCGAGTGCGTGCGCGCCGGCGGAGGCAGCGGTGGGGTCGACCGGTCGACCAAGCTCTCACCGACCGCCCTGCAACGTTTGCTATAATCGCACTTGACACGGTCTCGTGTTCTTAAAGAAAGTTTCGCATTTCTGTGTCACCCGTTCGCGGAACACGCGGAAAGCAGGACTTAGATCAGTCTCCTATTCAAACAGATATTTCGTTTCGACTGACGACTGTTAGCTCGGAGAAGCCAGTTCAGATTCTAATTAGATTAGATTATTCCATAGTTCTTACCTACTTGGCTTCGTAGATCAACGCTGCCTTTCTGAGTGGTGTAAGAATACACATCTTTATAATATTAACTCTCAGGTCGTTAAGGATTTCTTTAAGTCGCAATATAATTTGCGTTCTGGTACTAATTTGACAATTTTACCTCATCGGCTTGAATCTAAGCACAAAGTAGTTTTTCCTTATAGTACGTAAGTACATAGATGGTACCCGTATATGATTCACTAAAATCTTATCAAAATCTTATACATACATAGCAGTATCTACATTGGCTAGAATATATTATATAAATTTGCTTTTTACCAAAGTATATAATTCATCAAAAAAGTAAAATGAATTAGCAAGTCAATTTAGGTCAAAATTTTCAGACCAGTGGCAATGGAAAGTCATTAATATGTAATTTACGAACGGCTCTTATAATACTTTATTCCCATTTTACCATTTCATTTTTATTTTAGTTTTATTCTTTGACTCACCTCAACTTATACAAAATAAACGTTTTATTTTGACCCGTGTTTTAATAATACACTGATAAAGCTGGAGTACCATTTCACAAATTAAATTTCGTCCTTCGATAAATTTTCTCGGTTTATGGAAGACTGGTTCTCCTGTAATAAGTTAAACTTGAGTTATTTTACGTTATAATGTAATTGCTGTGCATTATTAGAAGATAATAAATGTAATATCAAACACGTTCCCATTCTTGAATTTTCAATTTCCTCCTAGAACTTGTTACTATGGTTATTGTGTTATGGAGTAATCTACTGGCATGCATTGATGTTCAGTTGCAATTCAGCGTGTAATGTGCAATTTGTCGCTGATTCCACGGTCACGCGATTATATGATTCGTTGACTTCTTAACTTATACTCTATCGAATTCAAAGAATTCGAAGAATTTAAAGTTTTTTTTTGAAATTATAAATTGTACACTCTTTTCATTCAGCTGATTACAGCTCTAATTCTATTCATCTGCTAAGAGCACTTACTTTTATTTGAAAAATAAAGATGCGGGCTGAGCTATTCAAAATATAGTTGTAATATACTAAATACATTTTAATTACTTTTCTTTGATCAGCCCACGTCTTCTCTCAAAGCCGCTCTATATTCATTGTCTCTGCCAACGCTACGTGGAGGCATCCAACGCATCCCATAGTCTCCAATACTCAGCTTACCCGTAATTTAACTTTTAACCTTTAGATTGCTGCCATTTTATCTATGAAAGAAATATTCTCTGATTTGAGCTAAACGTTTCTGTTCTGAATAAAGGGCTATCCTTGACACTTTTAAAAAGTTTAGAAAAACATTATTCATAACAAAATATCATATCCATTCCGATGAAAAACATAATATTTAAGGTGTATGCCAAATAAGTGTAAGGTATGTCCTAGGGCCTAGGACATCTCTTTGTGTAGTAGTGTGACATTATATTATATTTTAATTTTATTATTTATACAATTAAATACAAATATTTCATTTAGACCTATCAAATAAAAAAACTTCTAAGGGCTTCTATTTTGGCTTTTGGGAGACTCCTATTCCACATTCAGATGTTATTAAACATCCATTATTCTTTGTTCCATTCTTAACATAATCTTTAATGCAGTTACGCCAGTCAAGTTAACTAGAGCCAAGTCGCTATAAAGGGCTTCTTTATTCTTTTATGTAAAACGACATCGCCTTATTAAAGCCTTATGTCACTAACTCGGAGACTTATTAAATTATAAATAAAACATAAATTACCGTATTTATTTGTACTATTTTAAAATTATACTTCTACTTTTCGGGATTGCAGAAATTCAAAATCTGACGAGAAATGTAAAATTTTCTGAAGTCAACGTAGTGATGCTGGCTAGGATGCAGTATAGGGTGAGGCTTGCGGGGTGTGGGAAGAAGAGGGCAGGGGGTGACAGCAGTGCGGGTGGGAGACGGCCAGGCCGCGGCCCTCATTGATCGGGAGCCGCGCAGCATCCCCGCAGCCCGCATCCTCGACTCGACACAACCACAAATTCCTACACTCTAAATTTGAATTGTTAGAACTCCAAGTTTAAGCACCCGATCGTTTAATATGCATACGGGTAAGTTAACGCAGGGTAAACGTCCAAGACTACTCTGGATATAGTTTTTGGGTACTTCCTTAAATTATGAAAGCATACTATCACGGAAATTATTTAGAATTTACATGAAACACAGAGTATTTTAAATTTCGCCTTAAACTCCGCTGCATCCAAAGCTCAAAAGCCTGGGACATAAAAATTACAAAGGCTCTAAAATTAGCATAATTAAAATGTTTGGAGAAGCGGTGTCGGTCGTTGCGTCGTGTCGCTGGCTGGTCGGGGCGGGCGGGCGGAGGGGCGGGCGGAGCGACGCTCTTGAATGGGCGGCGGTGCGGCGGCGCAGCGCGGCCTTTCGAGCGCCAGTCCGCACACCGGCGGCTCCGCTGCCCCACGGTCGGCCGCCTGCTCCACACAACAATGCTCAAAATCACAACATAACTGAACAGACCCAGCAGTGACGTAGCCGGCGATGCTCGAGAATCGGACGGCACGCGTGGCCGTCGGCGAGCGGTGCTAGATAGAGTTTGATTTATGAAAGCCGTAGGAGAATTAACTTTAAGGTGATCGTACTAGCATCAGTATAAAGGCGTGTGTGCGGATGGAGCGACGAGGCGGCGCGGCAGCGCGGAGCGCGGGCTCGCGGCGCTGACATGACCGGCGGGGCGCGCCGCGCGCTGCCGGCGGCGCCCGGCGCCCTGCTGCTGCTGCTGGCGCTGCTCTGGCCGCTAGGTGAGCTTGACATCACACCTTTTACCATATACCATACACCCCGTGAACAGTATACTACCTCGGCATACTTTTATTACTATTCTGAACAGTCCTAATTAGATATATGTCATTGATTGCGATAAGAAGAGAAGTGTTAAAAACTAACTTTTACAATGATTAAAAACACTCATCCGCTTAAAATTATACAAATAAGTCGAATTTACTTTCACAATGCAGATATAAAAATACTTACATTAAAAACCATGAAATCCGTTCATGCCATCTTCTTTTCTGTTCAATATTATATTTTCTTATCAGTTTTAATGTATACACGCTACTCAGAAACCTCATACTCAAAACCAAAAATTTACATTTTTTTTGCAATATGTGGCAATATATTGGCCATCTACATAAATCTTTAATATTTAATAAAACCTTCTTCAGCGTTAGATTCAACGGATACCTCGTTATGTGAACCAAATGACATAATTGATTACAAGCGTAACATCTGCAATGCATTGCTGCAATTATTTTAATACTAACCATACGTTATATAATGATGTAACAAAAAATAATTAACGTCGTCGTCTTGATACATTTATTCTTGGAAAATATTATCCAGTGTCATAGTCATTCCTCATCATTCTTCGAATGAAAAATAATGGTCTCTATGTTTAGGTCTTAGCCGCATTCGTTCGTCAGTCACTACTAATAAGTCCCATAGACTTATTTAATTTCGCCATCGCGACCGTTATATCCTTTACATGGAATAATACTCGTCTCCTGTCTCCTAGACTCTTGTATAAAATATAATAACTGAATGATATTTTAGGGGTATTCGGTGGATACCACGAAAAGCGGCTACTGCATCATCTCCTGGACCACTATAACGTGTTGGAGCGACCTGTGGTCAATGAAAGCGATCCTCTCCAACTGTCTTTTGGCCTCACACTCATGCAGATCATTGACGTGGTATGTATTTTAATTAATTCATTTTTACACTGAAAAATATTGATAAATTACAAAATACATTAATACATTAATGTTTCTCTAAGCTATATTTTCCAATATGATTTATTGGTGATGTATTGGATGACTGATGAAAACGAAGGCTGTCCTGAAGTAACCCTTAACTTGACTACAAGTAACAACATCGTCCAGGGTTCAAGAAGAGGAAAAATAAAAATCATATACACGTAATATTATGGTATATTTTAGGCAGTTCTAGATTTTGTGTTATTATTTATGTTAAATAGGATTATTTTACGGGGATAAGGTAATAAATTAATTATTCTCAACCACGGGGCTTTACCTGTATTAAGACTTGCCAGAAGTTATTATAATGGACAAGTGGGTGCGCATTATCAAATCAATCTATTGTATTTAATAATAATTATACGAAAAAGTAATGTTCGTAAACTTGATTTATGGTCAGAACAAACGTTAGTTTATTGCGTTAAAAACCTCGTAGTCAGTCAACCGTCACAAGATGCAACTGCCATTAAAGAATATTCTGCTAAGTTTTGCAATAACATTTTGTTTGCAGGATGAAAAAAACCAATTATTAATCACCAACATTTGGCTAAAACTCGTAAGTATTTTTTTACATAAAAACCCATTTAAATAAACTAAATTAGATTAAAATGCATACGATTATCAAAGTAAATACATATTTATAAGACAATCACATTAAATCATTATTACACTTGTATAAATTTATTATGAATATTAATTCTCGTTTTAATCTTCATAAATCTAATAGAATATAAACCATTTATTAAATTATTCGATAATATAGACCATAACATATAGGATTTTTCAATAGGAATGGAATGATATGAACGTGAGGTGGAATACTTCTGATTTTGGAGGTGTCAAAGACTTAAGAGTTCCGCCACACAGATTATGGAAACCAGACGTCCTTATGTACAATAGGTATGGACCCTGTGCTACATAAATATTTTTTTAAATTATTAGTAATTCCTTACATATCATAATTTTGGATGAAATAAAACATATTCAATAATTCCTTCGTTTTTAATGATTAAACAAATAATTGTTATGTTACTCTATGATTACCACCATCATATAACGACTGCTAACATACAAACAAAGTTCAAGCTGATATATGCTTGATAATACAAAGTCGAAATTAGTGCCACTTATCATAGCAAACTTATACGAAGTGAGTGAACACACATCCAAGGAATAACAGCCTACTATTTATAAGGATAAATCAATACCGTGTATAACTCATACTTTACATTACATACCTCCTAGAATCAACGCATTTTCTAAGTATTTACGCAAACCTTGTTTCAAAACAGTGCCGATGAAGGTTTCGACAGCACATATCCGACCAATGTTGTAGTACGAAACAATGGATCATGCCTCTACGTTCCGCCGGGTATTTTTAAGAGTACGTGTAAGATTGACATCACCTGGTTTCCTTTTGATGATCAGCGTTGCGAAATGAAGTTCGGGAGCTGGACGTACGATGGTTATCAAGTATGTACATTAAGAAGAAAATTACATATTATGTAAAATATGAATCAGAAGTAAAACAATTATATATTTTAGTTGGATCTACAGCTACAAGACGAAGCGGGGGGTGATATCAGCAGTTTTGTTACTAACGGAGAGTGGGAACTTATAGGTGGGTTAATACTGAAATTATTATTAATAGGCCAATAAATACAACAATTATACGAAATTTGACTGTCTTTCTTTTGTTCTCTTAATCACAACATACACAGGCCATTACTAACATTATAACATTAGGTTGTGTGAATTCTTACTGCTTCTTTCATAGAACCTTAATAAGTATTTTTAGACTATTTTAAGCACTAATTTACCTTTTTCATCATAATATTACCGTAATATGAGAAAAAGAGACAAATGCATACTTTAGTTGAAGTAATAAAACTGATTTATTATTTAATAAATAAGGGGCTATCTTTGACCACATTCAATTACAGTATGCAGGTACCACAAGCTTGAATAAATCTTAAAATTGTGTAATCATTCGATTAATATTTCTGACAGGGGTACCAGGCAAAAGAAATGAGATCTATTACAACTGCTGTCCGGAACCATACATCGATATAACCTTCGCTGTAGTTATACGGCGGAAAACGCTTTACTACTTTTTCAACTTAATCGTTCCGTGCGTGCTAATCGCCTCTATGGCTTTACTGGGTTTCACCTTACCACCTGACTCTGGGGAAAAGCTGTCATTAGGTATGTATACTGTATAGTGTCCGGCAAATTAGTTAACTAGTATCATTAGATACGCCAATGTCGTTTTGATATATTTTTTTCCACTGAAGAGGTCAAGTAACTAATCCCAGTACGCAAAATGACGACACGTAATCGACACAGATAATAAAATTATAATTAACAATTTTTACATCTACCGGTACATTGTTTTATTTATTTAGATTTGAGGTTTAAAGGACCTTACGATTATCCAGACTAAAAAAACTAACATACCATAAATATTTTTTGTTATTATGATTAACTGAGAAATAGTGAATTCACATACTTATCTACACAGGTGTGACAATTCTGTTGTCTCTAACCGTGTTCCTGAACATGGTAGCAGAGACAATGCCAGCCACGTCGGACGCAGTCCCACTTTTGGGCACCTACTTTAACTGCATCATGTTCATGGTGGCTTCTTCTGTGGTCTCTACTATACTTATATTGAACTACCATCACCGGCATGCCGACACGCATGAAATGAGCGATTGGGTTCGTTTCTTTAATTTTGTAAATATGCTAGTGTAAAATGTCTCCAAGAAATTTTTTCTAACGATTCTTTCTTTAATCTACTATTTATATGAATAGTAAAGTGATACAGATTTTAGTACAAAAATATATTATATATAGATAAACTTATTACTTCTCCCTTTTACCATATTATTGTGGGGTTATAAATTTCACAAAATTTGAATAACTTACACAGCAACGGTAAGGAAGTCATTTTTATAACCAGATTCGCTGCGTGTTCCTATACTGGCTGCCGTGGATCTTGCGCATGTCTCGGCCCGGATCGGCAACCACGCCGCCACCGGCCCGCGCTCCACCTCCGCCGGACCTGGAACTACGCGAGCGATCCTCTAAATCGCTCCTTGCTAACGTCCTCGACATCGATGACGACTTCCGGCACGCGCATGCGCAGCAGCCGCCCTGCTGCCGATACTACAGGTCCCTCGACGATCTACACGAACACTACTCGCCGTAAATAGCACGGTTTTTAAAACCCCAGCCTCGAACGTTCCGCAGTCACCCGGCCCTAACAGCTAAATTACATCAGAGATCATTAGAAATATCGTCTTCATTTCTTCTGCTCGGGTCTTGGGTCTTTTCTGTATCATTATCAGCATAAGTCCCGTAGTGCCCTACGTTCCTTGGACCAGTAGTTTTTTTTACTCTACATTCGTAACGAGTATCTGTTTTAAAAAGATTGCATCTTCCAGGAGCGGAGAAGAAAACGGGGCAGGTCTTGCTGCACATAGCTGCTTTGGTGTCGACTATGAGCTCTCCCTTATACTTAAGGAGCTTCGAGTCATCACAGACCAGGTACGTCTAATCTCATATTATTAGGAAACGGTTTGGTCACAATTTACACAATAATAACCTGAACAATTTGTTTAAGATGCGCAAAGACGACGAGGACGCGGACATTTCGCGCGACTGGAAATTTGCCGCCATGGTCGTGGACAGACTGTGCCTTATTATCTTTACCCTGTTCACAATCATCGCCACGCTAGCCGTGCTGCTGTCCGCACCGCACATCATGGTGTCGTAGCGACCCGCCCGCCTGCGTCTGCGCATGCGTAACGTTCTGTGATACCGCGAATATATGTTAAGTTGTGATGTGCGAATCGGTGCGGGCGCCGATGCCGCGGCGTGGAAGTTGCCGCCGCCTGCCTTGCCGCCCGCGCCTCTCTAGTCATAAGTAACCGCTGACTGCCATCCCCAGCATTAATACTGAAACTGCCTGTTCATTCTTTTCTTCTTTTATCTTCTTCGACGCCTGTTCCTTACCCTTTTCATAAATACGGACATCTTGTAACGCATCAACTAAGTACATATGTTCTTCCGAGAAATCAGCGTAAAAACGTTATTTCCCCAATCCAAAATCATGAGTGGTTTTCTGACCAATCGACTGATTCGATTACGTGGCAGTAATTATCATATCTGGTGCGAAGCAGTGACCAGGCTTTTAGGATTCCACGCTAGAATAGTCGCCATTACAGGAGATCACAATTTGTGACTGTGATCGTAACGGAAAATTGTAGCACAAAAATGTCTTCCTTCATACTTTTTTACGATCTGTCACGTTAATGTATTACATTGTTAGAGATCCTTCTTGAAACTATGTACAGTTTAGTGGTCGGGCAGACGATATCGGCCCAATTGTTTCTTTCTCGTTCGATTCCGTGAATCGTGGTTATGGTCCCTAACTTTATTTTCGGACATATTTGTGTCAGTAGCTAGTATAGAACTTTACAAACAATGTTGTTTCAATTGGTACAGGTTGTGATACGCCTCGTTGTGAACGGGATGATAATATTGTTATAAATAATAAAATATCCAAAGCTATAGCTTATTAAAACGCTCGTTAAAATTGTGTAGTTAATGAAATCATTATTTTATTAAAATCGTACTCGATCTTTCGAAACAATGTTATACAATTACAATACATGATATCACGTTTGTACCTATGTAAAGTAATTTTTTCGATACAATCGTAAGTAATGTTAACTTTTTGAAGTTTCGGTCAAAATATTATTATGTAAAGTTATAGCCATTGTTTCCACGACGTCGAATCAAACTCCATTCAAAATCATTCTTTACCAAACGTTGGAATGCAATAATTAAACTTAATTATAACTTGGGATCATCTTGTGACGGTGCCTGATAATGGTGATAGACGTTTAGATGACTTCAATAATCGTTATTACGTGCATATATCCATTTTCATATACTCATTCCCTATCCATTTACCTGCCGTCATTCCCTTAAATGATTTGATCCATAAACGTGGAAAACATACGCCCTTTCTGAAAAGGAAAACGTAACGTGTTGACAGGAGCTGCTCGGATACATAATCGTGCGATGTTGTACCCTCGCAGAGCTCCTCCTATGTTTTCCTGGTCTGAAACAAATGCTGCACAATTCATAGCCGTTCCTTTGGAAGTTGCGGAGCGATTATGAATAAATGCAGATGTTTTCCATCGTTCCCTTGTTATTTTTGTTAACCAATGCGATCATCACAGTTGTGTATCAAACTGTTCGGATCCGCGCATTATTTTGTTTACAAGAAAGCTGTCTTTGAAAAAATGTAATGTGCGGTTTCTCGGCGGTATTGGGGCGACGTTCGTCTCCATAAATTGTTCAATTGTTAGGGTTAATACTCTGAATTGCACTTTGTTTATTAAATATAAACGAAATAAATTTAGTTTGTTTTATTTAAGAATTTTTCTACGCAAAGTTCTTCTCTTTTCAACTTATTATATTTTTGTAATAGAGGAATTGTAATATAAAAAAGAATGCCGAAATGAATAGCCATGACCTATATTCCTTAATCGCCTGGGAGCAGGCTCCGTAGCTGAAGACAATCGATGCGTTCCCTAGGGACAACAGCACATGCGCAGATATCCTCTTGGAAACACCAACACAATACTGCAGATACTTTTCCCATCAAAAAATAAAAAAAGCATTTTATAAGAGGCTAGGAAAAATGATTTACTCTTTCTTGAACGTTTAAGTAGAAAAAAATCTGCATTGCTCACGATTATTATAAATGAATATTTTATTATTACTTTGTTGTTTTACAATAACAGCACAATATTTTTTACTCACTAATAAACATTAAAAAAAAGCTTCAAAAACTCATACTGAGTTTAGCTTAGGGAATATTATGAACAGCCGTATATTCTTTTTAAGAAAACATCATAAAATAATTGTAAACCAAAATTAGTTGTGGCTGTTTAATGGAAATTTAAAAGATATCTACTTACCCTGTGCCTGATATTAAGAAAGATGTAAGTGTAAAATGGTCCTAAGTATACGTAGCGTTTACGCAATCATTTAAAAATCCCCGAAGTTATTAAACAGTACAAAAAGTATAAAATATTATATATCTATTCTTTAATTCCATGGAATTCATTTAAATTTAACTTTACTATACTTATGTACACAGAAATAATTTTGAATTACCCAATAAAAACACTAAAGTCACGATGATATATTTTTTTAGTGAATACATTTCATTTTGTTATCATAAAATACCATACCATTACAAATACCATATCTATTATAGTGGCAGTTTATCTTCCTCTCCAATATTTGATTGAAATGAATTAAGACGTGTAAACCAAACGTGAAGGTTAAGCTAAGTTAAGATACGCTAACAGTCAATTAAAGAAAGTAAGGTGACAAGGAGAAATGATTATAAGCATTAATACGTGAAGGTTTGGTAAACTATAATATGTAACTATTTTTGTTATTTGTTTTAGGAATATGTTTGTGATTTGTATTAACTAGCTTAATTAGTTATATAAAATTAACATTAGTGTAAATTTAAATGCAAAAATCAGCGTATAAGAAATCATTAGTTGATATTTGTTAAGTTATATTTCCGTCTACTGGTCATCGGATATATTTTAACAAGCAGCCTCTTTAGGTTAGGAGATAAAGTAAGGTTGTTATACGGCGCAGGGCGTGCGAAGTGCGTGTCGGTAAAGGCGGCGATTCGCGATTCCGGCGTACGGCAGTGGCCGCCGCCCGCCGACATGACGGCTGCCTCGCGCGCCCCGCTACTCGTTTTAGCGTTGCTTACCGCACTATATACAGGTAAATACATATGTTTATATCTATACTCATAAAGCAATACTTATTAAATATCCAAAAGCCATTAACGCGTCGAAAATGACGACGAAACCCTACAATTAAATCACCGTGATTTTTTATTAATTTGTCAAATTATATATAAATACATATATTGGTAAATAGCATGTAATTGATATATTTAATCTAAATAAAAGAGGTAAAGAAAGAGTAAGAGGTTATGATGCTTTCAATTTAAAAATAGAAAGAATATGTTACAACGTAATTAACTATTACTTCCGATTGCTAAATCTCATAATTACATCATAAGCGGAATATAAATGGAATTTTATACCTATATAAAAGCTTACATGTTGAGTTCATAGATCTTGCGTTTTGCTCATTATTGATCTGCTCCCGTTGCAGCATCAAGAGGAATGAATGTTATGAAATTTCAATACGTATTTATTTCATATAGAACTTTAGTACGTTTCTGTTTTATACACATCATTCTAAAGAAGTTACCTGACAAAAACATGATCTAACCAAAACGCAATCAATAAACAGCTGTCTAGGTAATAAATTAATACAGACATATTAATATGTAAATTTTGTTAGGTAAAGCTAAATAAGCAGTGCATAGACAATAACGAACAGGTACGAACAGGAACACTTAAAAAACATATATATATATATGTTCTGACTTAAGTTATAGGCACAAACTTTATTGACCTATGTAGTCTACATATATATTGCATTCCGTTTTATATTATAATAACTTAAATAAATGACTATGGGTACACTAAAGAGGAGATCATGATAATAATCCAACTGCCCTCTTAGTATTACGCAAATATTTAAATAAAGAATTACACGAACGCTTCTTTGAACGAGGACAAGATCGACTGTTTGGACTCATTATTAATATTTCTTTCGTCACCATTTACTGTTTATGGAGGATTCAACTGGTGTTGTAGAGCCACGTATGGAAATCTAAAATGATACCCAGACTTATCCTTGTTTAGACTTAATTGGATTCAATATAATATACAATGACTAGGTAACCACTAAGTAGGTGCTTAGAATAACTTGACTTAACGTTTTATATGTATATACATTTACACAGATTGAATAAAAAGACGGCATTTAATTGCTACTACATTTTCTAGACATACAGTAAATAATTGTAATTGTCTTAAGACCTATTAAAATGTGCAAAAACGTATTCTGACTTCTGATATATATTAATAAATTGTGCAAACAGTATCACTTTTAGCATTATCTTACCGGCATTTCACGTATTTTATGAGAACTTGAGATAATTTTATGAATATAGAATGTTAGTAGACTTTTGAAATATGCAGGACTTATTGTGATTAAAACTGTATATTATATTTTATCCTTTTTACATAAAATTTATTAAACATTTTATTTGCGTTATTCTTTCGAAATGACAACGATAAGGACACGACTAATATTGTGTTGCAACTTAATTAAATTATTATTTTAAGAACCATGTCGGGCAATGTGTAAATCACGAGATAATTTTTTCAATAAATAAGACCGTTTAAACTGTGTGTTTCTTATATTTAATATGTACTTTTTTGCAACTCTACGTGGAATTGGAATCTCTAATTTATCGCACATTTCCGGTTTATATATTTATATTAAAGGTAGTTACTAAATACAGTAATTTCGATAAAAAAAGGGTTAAATATCATGGCAACAAAGTCACCTCAATTAACACTGATGTGTTTGGAAATCTCAATCAATCGAAAAATTATTCCGTTGTATAAGAGTAAAGGGTACATATTTCTATGATAATTGTTTATACATTCGATAATTATTTACAGGATGGTGTTCGGAAGACGAGGAGAGGTTAGTCCGGGATCTATTCCGTGGCTACAACAAACTGATCCGACCAGTCCAGAACATGACACAAAAAGTAGACGTTCGGTTTGGCCTTGCCTTTGTTCAACTCATCAATGTTGTGAGTAAAAAATAAAAGCTTCCCACGTTGATCCCACGTTATTCAAGTTTTGATGTTTATGCAATTATGACGGAGCTTTAAGCACCAGGTTGTTGAAGTAAACAACTTTTTAGTACATCTACTTGTACCTACCACCTGTGTGGAATTGAATGGGTCATTTGTTATGTTTCTTTATAACTATTAAAAAGTATAACATACAGTTTCTGAGAATAAATTAATTTTATTCGTTAAAGAAAATTACCTCCGTTCACCCAAATATATTAGTTAATACAAACTTCGTTTTATTAGAAATATATAACTACTATGCATATATGTTATTGGTTAAATTCGCGCGACATAACGTGCCTTTGCAATTATGGTCACAGGAGTATAAAATAAAAAAGTTCTTATAGTTTTAATAAGAGTATGTTCATATGTATAATATATGCGGTATTTGTCCATTCATGATTAATTTTTTCGTAGAACGAGAAAAACCAGATCATGAAATCGAATGTATGGCTTAGACTTGTGTGGATGGACTACCAATTAATGTGGGATGAGGCTGACTACGGTGGTATCGGAGTACTGCGGCTGCCACCTGACAAAGTTTGGAAACCGGATATTGTGCTGTTTAACAAGTAAACAGTTTAATAATAATTATACACATTAATAAGCTTAACTATTTATACATATATTATAATAATATATTATTTCTCGGGTAGTGATAGTCTACATTTATTTTTATTGACTGCATCAACGGACAGTGAGTTGAGAGAGAGTTACAATTAAATTTTTTTATAGTGCCGACGGTAACTACGAAGTGCGCTACAAATCTAACGTCTTGATTTATCCTAATGGCGAGGTTCTATGGGTGCCTCCTGCCATCTATCAGGTCAGTTACGAAACGTAATTCCCATATTATTTTCAGTATTATTCTTTAATTGAAATGAATTATTTTATTGAATCCTTGGAATATGTTTTTTCAGAGTTCATGTACCATTGACGTTACATACTTCCCGTTCGACCAACAAACTTGTATTATGAAATTTGGTTCTTGGACGTTCAATGGCGATCAAGTATCTTTAGCACTGTATAATAATAAAAACTTCGTTGATTTGTCTGATTACTGGAAATCAGGGACATGGGACATAATAGAAGTGCCCGCCTACTTAAATATTTACGAAGGCAACAGTCCGACAGAGACCGACATTACCTTTTACATAATAATAAGAAGGAAGACGCTTTTTTATACAGTCAACTTGATATTGCCAACGGTATTAATTTCATTCCTTTGTGTGCTGGTATTTTATTTGCCCGCTGAAGCTGGAGAGAAGGTTAGTTATTTCTTTTAATATATTTGTTTTTATGTAAAAAACCTCACCGGATTAAAACTCTTAGGATAACTATACAAATATATGCTTCTTTTTGTTTATTAAAAGTATGATTTCTATGACTAATAAAAATTATAATTTTCAAATTCAGTAAAATAAATCATGCGATGCCTGATTTTGTAATAATAGCTTAACAAGGATAAAACGTCAATAAGAAATATATTTTTGTAGAAACATTCTTATATTTAAGCTTACCTACTGCATTTTACTGCGTTCTGTGAGTGTCGTGAAGTTTTTAGGGAAGGTAAAGGCCTAATTAGCCTACCTACCTAAAATATGAGAGTCAATATTTAAATTTCTAAAAATCGCATTATATTAAAGTGGATAGGTACATACTCCACGATATTAATTCCTATATAGAGTTTTGTAAGAAGCATATTTGACGGCTAGAAGACAACGCTATATACTTAATATTGTTTTGGTAACAAAACTAAAAAGTAGTAAAATATGTATAAAATATACTCTATAGTTTCATTTCAAGTCAAACTAATCCGACTTTCATAAAGCAAATACACCAAAACCACCATTCGTTAGTGGCAATCACAGCTGATGTTGTTTTACAAAAATGGACTTACAATAATTCCACGTTACTTCAAAAGTACCTTCAAACTTACAGGTTACATTGGGTATAAGCATTCTGCTGTCGCTTGTGGTGTTCCTACTTCTGGTGTCAAAAATTTTACCACCGACGTCTTTGGTGTTACCGCTTATTGCGAAGTACTTACTGTTCACATTCATCATGAATACTGTCAGTATTTTAGTCACAGTGATTATTATTAATTGGAATTTCCGAGGGCCGAGGACGCACAGGTAAACTTTTATTAATCATCATACTAATTAATATGACATAAGCAGGACTAAAATTAAATTAATAAACTTTGCATTCGGTAATTAATTAAGTTTTATTTTCTTTTATCCAATAAATAAATATTTTAATAAGTTTACCAAATCATAAGTTTGGAAACAAAAAATTGTATTTTATTTCCCAATGCTTCCCGAAAGCCGTAGGTATCAATTTGAAATTTCCTATATAAGATGAACAATTCCAGAGATTACATAATTGGAACATGAGATAGTTTTATGACAGACTCAGGCTACGGCTATGGATAAGACATATTTTCTACTACAATCCGTAAGCACTATCAACTAAAAGCTTTGTCTAGCATTAAACGACTATAGTTAAAGTTCTAATTTCGTCGAAATATAAAAAGCAAAAACTTTAATCTTGTCAATTAATCTTGCCTTGCAGAATGCCGCTTTGGATTCGGAGCGTTTTTCTTAACTATTTACCAACGTTGTTAATAATGCGTCGTCCTCGTAAGACTCGTCTTCGGTGGATGATGGAAATGCCAGGAATGGGTGCACCGCCCCATGCTGCTGCTACTCATGACTTGCCTAAACACATTAGGTAATAAATTCAAAAGGATATATTTACGTTTGCTACTCAACAGCAACGAGCATTTGAGTGAATTGCTCAAAAAATAATTTTCTAATGCAATATTATCTATTAGCATTATCTCTTCAGGTGGTTCTAAGACGCTGCATTTCTGGGATTTTTTTTTCTTTTTAGGCTGCGTGCCTAAAATATATACCTACAATATTATTGAACTTGATTATTAATTATTAGATTTTATAAGATCAACAATCAACCATTCAACAGAGCTAGACTGTGAAAAACATTATGAAATCCTCTTTAAAAACTTATCTGATTGTACCTTTTATATAGGTATATTTAGTATGGCTATGGCTATGGCCACTTAGGCAATTATAACTGGTTGGTGATTTGCAGTGCTATTGGGGCTAAACAAAGCAAAATGGAAGCTATGGAACTCTCCGATTTGCATCATCCCAATTGCAAGATCAGTCGAGCAGCTGGTGGAGGAGAAGTCGGTGCTTTGGGAGGCTTAGGAGCACTTGGTGGCCTCGGACTAGGAGAAAGAAGAGAATCCGAAAGCTCTGATTCGCTACTCTTGTCTCCCGAAGCCGCAAAAGCCACTGAAGCAGTGGAATTCATTGCAGAACATCTACGCAATGAAGATCTTTATATTCAGGTAATCAATCAGTAGGATGCTTTTAAAATAACCCTTTGCTATATTAAATCATATTAGTGATAATAATTAAATGTAATTTATGCCAGACAATGTTCGAAGCTCTGAATACTCGCAAGTAAGAAGGAGTTAAGCTATAAAGTTGTATTATCAACTTCTAACTATAGTAAATAGACTACTTAATAATGAAGTAAACTATTATAAAGTGATAATTAGAAAATTTTCTGGGTTTTTTCCAAGCAAATTATTATTAAAAATTTCTTCCCACGTTGTATAAGTAAATTACTTATCGTTTTAATTTGCATTACAGACCCGCGAAGATTGGAAGTATGTCGCAATGGTGATTGATAGGCTTCAACTCTACATATTTTTCTTAGTTACCACAGCTGGTACTGTCGGTATTCTAATGGATGCGCCACATATCTTCGAGTACGTCGATCAAGACCGCATTATTGAAATCTACAGAGGAAAGTAAATCATATGCTTCCAAAATCACGTGAATTAATCCTTTTAAATTGTTATTTTTGATAATTTAAGCAAACTTTAGTATGGCTAAAATATTAATACAAAGGTAGCCAAAGATAATGTTGTAAAGATAATTTAGGCACCTTCTAAATAACTTGAATTAGAGCTATACAGTGTCTTTAATATATTATTTGTTGTTTATTATGATTATCTTTTAGTAGCTGTCTATAAAATGTATGACTATTGCCTTTACGTTAATGCAATTTCTTACTGGTTAAAGAATTTTCGAAAAAAATTTTCGGAAAAATTGTTCCAGAGATTACTTCTCACAAACTCACAAAATTATAAACCTCTTTATAATATTAGTTTAGTTAAATTAATCAGTTAATTGTTATAGTATGTTATATTCAGTATTATATATTTATTAGCAAGTAGGGTATCTCTAATTACCACATCCTAGTTAATTACATAGGTATAAATTGCTACTAATTGTACCTATAAGTATAGGTTTAGTACCTATCAAAGTTTATTTTATAATATATTATAATAACCTACACTCGTAGATTAAAACGTAACAGATAGAATTATAAAAGGCTGTGTTCGTTTTATTAAAAATCAAAATATGAAATAAATTGACAACTTTGTGTAAATTTTTATATCGTCTAGAATATTATTAAGGCAAACAAGTATTATATTCTTACTGATTCTGTGGTGGCGATTTTTTCTTACAGATAAGACTGTAAAAACCAGAAATTCTATTATCATTTGAAATACACTAAAAAAGGTTTTAAAATTGGGGCGCTGATAGAAAAACGGTTGAAATAGTCTGTTGTAAATAGTTTTTTTAAATCATAGTTTCGTAAATCGCTACAAATAATTACACAAAAAGGTACGATCAGAAAACTTAAGTCTTTGCTGCTTATGTGCAAAATTTACATAATATCCAGTATTCAATAATTAAATAGAAGTAAGAATATTTCGTTAATAGTGTGCTTTTTTTACGTAGACGTGTTACATTAATAACTAACTTGGTGTATAGTGCCTAAGTTCATTTAATTGTCTTCCTTGTAGAAATTCTAATGTATTTAGCTGATTTTCGGAAACTTTGTTCTAGTTTATAGATATATCTATAGGAATGAATTGGCTTTACTTGCCTATTACCCTACAATACCTATATGTACTTATTTAGAAATATAACCACTTTATGAATAATTATTACGTATAAGATTCTAAAACTAGAGTTTGCCTGTGTCCAATGTTTTTTAAAGGAATACCATCACGTGCCCCAGTCTATAATCCAAACTAGTCCAAAATATACAAGTGCGTACATTATGTAGGTTTTTGACTAGCCAATTAGGCAATTAAAATAAATGATTAAAAGTAACTTATCTATTGTTTTATTCATAATCGATATCAGTCATAGGGCAATTCAAAGTATACCTATAAGAATATAATACTTTTAAAAATGAAATGTTAAAATCTAAAAGTATTATTAGGTACATTTAATGACTTCTATGAAAAACATATATAGAGATCATTTTCAGACTTAGTTCCATATACAGTACCAAATGGATTATATAAAAATACCAGAGCAATAATTATATGAATGCAAAAAAACTTCTGTGGCTGAATATTTAAAGTAGTAAAAAAAACATTGTTAGCTTAGTTAAAACATACTTTATTTGATCTACACAATACCTTGATCCAGAGTGTATTGCCTAAATTAATTAAAATAAGTTATCATACATTCTATTTTGCCAACAAGTGTGTGCGACACCGATTCATCGCCTTCGCATTTTGCTATAAATATTTTAGATGTTACAAGAAAATCAAGAAACTGGTAATTCTTCCCAACAGTTTTCTGTTGGGAAGAATTACCAGTCTTTATATTGAAGGTGTTGAAAAAGAGGATGCTCATTTAGTTATTTTAAATATCACATCTTATTAAATTAGCAATATAAACAATTTGCATTTTTCTTTAGTCAATTATAAAGAAGTATTATAAATCTTAAATTCAAACGACTATTCAGTCCTTATATATAAAAATGTGTGTAATTTTTCCATCTCATTATTTCCATATTCTTTATAAAAAAGTGTCTTAACATTATACAATTCAATCATCATCTTCTTCATAATTAGGTGAAGTAGGTGTATAAGTAGGGGATGTAGGAGAAGTTGGAGAGTAAGTTGATGGTCCACCGGAAGCCGGAGAATAGGCCGGGGATGATGGCGAATAATTATTTGAGGTTGGCGTGAATGTTGGCGATGTTGGGGAATATTTAGAGGAGGACGGAGAATATCCAGGAGATGAATAGTTTGGCGAAGACGGTGAGTAATTTGGTGAGGATGGTGAATAATGCGAGGTTCCGGAATGTTGCGGGGACGAAGGAGAGTACGCCGGGCTAGGTGAATATTGCGGGCTTGTTGGAGAGTACTGAAGACTGTTCGGCGAATATCTAGGACTACCTCCTGATACCGATGGCGATGTCGGCGAATACTTTGGAGATGTCGAAAAATATTTGGGTGATGAAGGCGAGTAATTGCGTGATGTCGGTGAATAGTTATTAGGTGAGGTCGGAGAATAAGAATGATTTGTGGGTGAATAGGCTGGTGATGTGGGCGTGTAATTTGGTGATGACGAGGAGTAACTGTGTGCCCCGGAAGTGTAAACTGGACTATTCGGAGAATATCTCGGTGAAGTCGGCGAGTAGCCCGGAGAAGTCGGCGAGTAAGCTGGACTCGGCGAATAAGACGGACTCGTCGGAGAATAGGATGAGCTTGTTGGTGAGTAGCTCGGTGAAGTTGGCGAATAACTAGGAGAGGTTGGGGAATATGCCGGGCTAGTAGGTGAGTAACTCGGGGACGTAGGGGAGTAGCTCGGCGAAGTAGGTGAATATGATGGGGATGTAGGCGAATAGCCAGGGGAGGTAGGTGAGTAACTTGGAGAAGTTGGGGTGTAAATAGGAGAGGTTGGGGAATAGTTAGGTGAGGTTGGAGAATAGGACGGGCTTGTGGGTGAGTAGTGTGGGGAAGTTGGGATGAGACTGGGGGACGGAGCAGCATAGACAGGACTTGTGGGAGAGTACGACGGAGAAACGCCGGCTGGCGAAGCGTAAGGTGACAACGGGGCTCCAGGAGAACCGGGAGAGCCGGGCTGTGGCGACCAAGCGCTGCTATACGAAGGAGACATTCCCGAAGCGTCAGATGCACCTGATGGTGAGAATGATGGACCCGGAGTCATACTGCTACCCACTGAAACGATACATCATATTTGAGAGATGACAATATTATGGTATTGTGTTGAAAATTTTGAAAGACAAGCATTAGCAATAATAAATAACACACATGAGCACAAAAAGCAGTTAACATTTTAATCTCACAGCTAAATTTGTAATAGTTTATTTTTTACTAAACTTACCCGGTCCAGGAGACCAAACACTGCTACCATAGCCAGGAGTATTCTGGTTCGACCAAGGAGTCATAAGCGGAGTCATGGATGGTGTGCCGACTCCGAAGTACATTCCGCCACCTACTCCCAAGCCTACGCCCAATCCACCCATTTCCATGCCGTGCTTACATTTTTCAGCATCCAGTAGTAAATCAAAACATCCTGAAAATTATTATATAACAATATTTCTTTTTTTATTATGTTGAAGGTTAATTAAATACTAATATAATAATTATCTTATCATATTCTTTTGTTTCAACTTTATTGTGGGTGACTGCACACTGATGCTTTAATAAATATTTAATTTAATTCTTTTTTTTTTTATGAACAAAAATATTTCGGTTAGCACACGTTGCCAAGATTGTAATTAAATAAATGTAGTTACCTAATTTAGCACTAACCTGTTCCCATTCTAGGGAGTTGTCCCATGATAATATTCTCAGAAACGCCTCTCATAGGATCTACTTCGGCGTGGCTCGCAGCGTCGAGCAATACGTCTACAGTTTCTTCGAAGGAACATCTCATCAACGCGCCAGTGTCTTGCCTGTTAATGCCGTGACGAGTAATGGCCATAAGGTGACCTTTAGCAGTCATTACGTCACAAAGCAAAGCCAAGTGGCGGTAGTTTACATATAGACCATAGAACTGCAATACAGCATTCATTTCTTTTTCAACAGATTTTCGTACCGCCTCGATACCTAACACTTGGAATATCTCACAGATATCGTTACTAAAGGTTCTTATCGGATCTACATCTCGCTCGGAAAGTACTTTCATCAAAGATGTTCCATCCGTTTCCAACAGCCACTCTGCAATTGCCTTGAATTCTCCCTGTTCCGTAATAACTATACGTTTCTTAGCTTCAGTTTGCGGCAAATGCATATAAACTTTGGCTATCGCTTCAATACCTTGTAAAGTCATGTCAGACAACATATTTGCTTCAATACATCTTAGGAACATATCATCTTCCATCTTATCAACAGTTTCCTCGTCATTGTCTTGGAATTTACTCTCTTCATTGTTCATAATTCTTATACGAAGAACCAGTTTTTCGGCATTATCGTCGTTGAATATGCAGTTAAGATCATCTCCAAAGCCCGCATTGATTTTTTCTGCAATTTGTTCCATAGTAAGCTTCTTGTCAGTCATTCTCTTACGGTCCAGCTCAATACGCAACAGCCATGGAGATATTTTGGTGGGATCAAAGTCAGGCATTTCATAGTAAACATTGACAAACTCTTGATCTTCACCAATAACAGTGTTCTGTGGGTCGGGATCGTAGTATATAGCAGTGTTTGCCGTTACTTTTCGTAAAGTTGTGTGTTCCAAACGACACAAAACGTTTTTAGCTTTTTCTGCATCTCGAGCAGCTCCACCAGTTAGAAATACAGTGAGAGAGGGAGCTTTAGGCTTCTTGGATATATTTATAATTTCTTTTAGACGAGGCACACCGAGAGTTACATTTTTGGAGGAGACTCCAGCAAAGTGGAAGGTGTTCAATGTCATCTGAGTAGCTGGTTCTCCCAGAGATTGAGCAGCTAGGGCTCCTACCATTTCACCTGGGTTTGCTTGAGCTTGTTGAAAACGAGTTTCGATTTCTCCTATCAACCACTCGAAAGCTTCTGTTGAGAGCCGATAATCTTCTGATACAAGCTTAGCGCACAAAGTTGACCTCACAAGGCATTGGAAGAGTAAAGTCGCATTTTCATTGGCTTGTTTCGAAAGGCGATCCTCTCCAGCCACAATAACACATTTCTTTAATAAATCTCTTACAGATTGAATAACTTTTATTGGACTTAAATCAGTAGTCGATCTCTTATTAATATGGAAAATTTTTTGCACATTCCAAATCATTCTCTTAAAGTTACAGGGTAACACAACTTTTGATTCTCCACTTGGGAAAATTTCTCGCAACACCGATCTGTCCTTTCCTAGTTGATCCCACTCGCTTTCTAAATCTCCAATAACATATCCAGATTCTGTAAGTTCTTTAATGATATCCTCATTGAAGATTCTCTTCAAGTATCTTTCATTTGTGGGATCAAACTTAAACTTCTTTTCAAAAGCTTTATTTGATAGCTTGATTGTTGGTAGGTTTTGGAACTCGACGGTTTCTCCCGCTAAACCATCTTCTCCATAACGTAACTGGATGAGTTGACCAACAGAGTTTCTAACAGTGCCATCATAATTAACCATAACAGACTCCATAGCCTTTATGAGACGTCGTTGAATATATCCTGTTTCAGCAGTTTTTACAGCAGTATCAATAAGACCTTCACGACCTCCCATAGCGTGGAAGTAAAACTCCGAAGGTGTCAAACCAGCAAGATAAGAGTTTTCTACAAAGCCCCTTGATTCGGGACCATAATCGTCTTTAATGAAATGCGGCAATGTCCTTTTACGGAAACCGAATGGAATACGTTTACCTTCCACATTCTGTTGACCCACACAAGCGATAACCTGAGAAATGTTAATGTTAGATCCTTTTGAACCGGAGACCACCATAGCTTTGAGATTGTTGTATTCAGTGAGAGATTTTTTAGCTGAACCTCCAGTTTTGTCACGAGCGTCATTCAATATACGATTTACTTGATTTTCGAAGGTTTGCCTCAGGGTATTACCGGGAGTCGGCTCCAATTCCATGTTGTGGGCTTTCTGTATAACCTCTATTACATCATCTTTGGCTTTCACGATAGTATTTTTAATTTCTTGATATGTTTGCGGATCAGCAATAGTATCTCCAATACCAATTGAGTGACCTTCTAGAAGGAGCCAGTTGTTAATTACTGTTTGAATATTACCATAAAACCGTCCTGCCGTTTCGTGTCCTAATTCCAACATACAAATATGCAGAAGTGATCCAGCCGAGGCACCGAGTGATTTTTTACACAATATACCCATTAGTAGTTCTCCATGGTCTACAATGACTTTTGTGTCTCCGGGGGATATCCATTTATAGGGGCCATCATCTTCTTCATCAGGATGTGTAGAATGTGTTCTAATCATATTCACATTACCAGGAATGATCAGGGTAAATATTTGTTTGCCAGTCCAGAGGGGTGTTGGCTTCAGGATGCAAGGTTGGGGAATTTTGCCATCCCATGTAGGCAAAAACATAAGAAGATTCATTACCTGTTCTTTTGTCAGAAACACATCTCGTTTAGTCATTTTTCTAACAGCTGTGAGTGTGTCCTGTACAATACCCATGACAGGTTTATTTGCTTGAGGAGTTATGATCTGCCTGGGTGTAATATGAATGTTTTCAACTTCGGCCCGTGTCTCCATTGACTGCGGGACATGCAAATTCATTTCATCACCATCAAAATCGGCGTTGTATGGCGAAGTACAACTCAAATTCATACGGAATGTTGACCATGGTAACACTTTAACTCTGTGACCCATCATACTCATTTTGTGAAGTGTCGGTTGCCTATTAAATATAACTAAATCGTCGTCACGCAAATGACGTTCAACTTTATAACCATACTGTAAATGAAGGTCAGAAGGTTTGGGATGGAACCTCAAATCAATACGTTCTCCATTGTCACGAACTATATATTTAGCACCAGGATATTGCGCGTTACCTCTCCTTACTAATTCCTGCATCCTATCAATGTTAAATGGCGTCACTAGTTCCGGGAATGTCAAATTTTGAGCTATAGACCTTGGAACCCCTACTTGATCAATACGAAGATTGGGATCCGGTGTAATGACAGTTCTGGCTGAAAAATCTACACGCTTCCCCATAAGATTTCCTCTGATTCTCCCCTCTTTTCCTTTAAGTCGAGCTTTAATGGCTTTAAGTGGCTTTCCAGATTTCTGCATAGCTCTGTAAACAATAAGCACCAATTTATATAACTACCAATATGTTATTCAAAAAATACCAAAAACTTTTTTATTATATATAGCCTGGTATATCCTGCAGACAAAAGTATGTTATTTAAATTGCTATCATTTTAACAATGTCTTTTATAAAAGAGTTAAATAAATAAATATTTGTTTATAATTTTAAATAAAACTTTCTACGCATCAACTGACTAATGACCTTAGCACCAAGAGACTGCCACTTCAAGATGACAGATAACTTTGTGTGTACTATTCGAGTAATTTTGATTACAACACAAGGCTCCGGAACTTACTTTGGCATGCCAGGCATATCATTATCTACAAATGTGGCAACATGGAACTGTAACATCCTAATATTGTCAGCTAAAACATGAGCAGCAGCGCCAGTTTGTTCATTCCTCATCAGTTCATTATTTGCTTTAATAATATCAGCCAGTTTATGGGTCAAATCATCTTGATTTTTGGCAGACCCAAACATGACAACCGCAGGTCTAACAGACAATGGTGGTACAGGTAAAACTGTTACTATCATCCAATCAGGTCTAGCAAACTTTGGATCCATACCCAGTATAAAGGACTCTTCATCTGTAACAAACAATAAATAAAATAGTAAATTTATAAATATGCCTTACAACTACAAAATAATCTAACCATACTCTTTGTATGCATAGTAAGCATTTTTATCATGTTAAAGTCAAAGTTCTTTCACTATATAAAATCTACACTATTCCAGAGTAATATTTATTATTATTTGTTAAATCTCATTTCCTTTCCATTTTGTTTATAATTAAAGGTATTAGGTTAATTACTCTAGTAATAAAGTGTCATTAAATAATATATCATTAAAAGAAATTCCATTATCCATAAGTTTGCTGTTATAATAATTAGTACAGTAGAACCTCGTTAAGCCGAACCTCGATAAGTCAAAAACCTCCAAATCTCGAAAAAATGTTTTGTTCCCTTCCCTTAAAACACCAAAACCTCCATTACTTGAAATCTTGACCCTCTGTTAATCGAAATAATCACCGAGTCCCTCCAAGCCATTTTGGTACATATTTTCACTCTATAACTCGAAAAATTAAATTTGACCTCTGTATCTCGAACATAGGAACGTTTTATTTTACAACCTTTACAACTTGATCATTTGGAATTTATTATCTCTATTGTTCGAACAAAAATAAGTTACCGACTTTAAGAACTTGCCGACAATGTGTGTACACTATTGTTTCTTAGAAAACATTTTAGGAGTATACAATAATAAATTTATGACTCATGGAAACACGTGTTTGCTTGCTTTGTGTCAGGTGTTCAATTTTGATTCCCTTTGAAATTTAGCTTAATTTATAAGAATAAACCTCAAACTCTTCGAAATCGAAATCCTCCATAAGTTGAAAACTCTATAACTCGAATTTTTTGGCGTCTCCCTTGATATTCGACTAATAGAGGTTCTACTGTAGTTTATATGTAATGTACACAATCCATACACACATAGTTACTTAGTTATTTCTATATTCTAAAAGAAAATTATAATGTAGACCATAAATTCATTACCATATTATCATAACTGTAAGCAGAGCCACTGGTACTCACCTGTTATTTGTTTCAATATTTCCCAGACCCGTTCTGCAGTTATAATTATTTTTTTCTCTTGAGTATCTTCATTTGCATGTTTCCATTCAGCTGTGAGGTCTAGACCTTGCCGTCTGATTGAAGGCTGATAGTGACCACAACCACCATGACCAGAGCCTTTTTTACCCTCTTCACCTTCTTTACCAATATCCATATCTTCACCACCTTCACAAATATTTTTTCCTTTACATAAGTCATAAACATAAGTCAATCGTTTACGTGGTTGCCCTTTAGATTTCATTACTACTTCTTTTATTTTGGGATTTGTCTGGAAAGTCCAAATGAGATATTATTTATTATTGGTATTTATTTTATACTTTGCTACATAGTACCAAACTTAAATAATTAGGTAGACAACAGCTCCTCTTATTGCTGATAAGCAATCTATTGTTAATTAATAGCTGCTTATTTGTTACGGTTAACCATAAAAAATAAGTAAAAATATTTCTCACCGGACTGACAAGAAGTTTGGAACAGTAAAAACAGACACATCTCAAAATTTTTATGGTTTTTGTGATGAATCCTATGTGGAATACTGGCTTAGCCAAATCTATATGCCCAAAATGACCAGGACACTCAGTCATATTTCCCGCACAAGTCTGACATCTAGATGTTCTATCGATCACCCCTTGCCGTGGGTCCATAAGACCTCCAAGCTTTGGTCGTCCACCCTCCATTGTTTCTGGGAAGCGTATGCCCCCTTCCGTGACAGACATACGACGCTGTAAATATAGGGCTTTCATATTAATTCATCATTATACGTATTTTGCATTCAACTATGATAATACAAAATCCTTATAAATATACTACGTTGTCTGACATTATGGTGTGTGACTATGGATTATGGTGCAATAAGGAAAACGACGTATGAGGAAAGATTTTACGAAAAGATATTAAATAAGCTTAATTCTAAACCTATAATTTTTAGTTTTCACAAACTTACAATTTCATCTGGGGATAATATACCAAACTGCACTCGTTTTACTTGGCGCACAGGCGCCTTCGAATCAGTCGTAGTCGCCATTTTGACGATAACTAAATAAACATAGACGATAGTATCGTATAATATAAACCAAGGCCATAGAGTATAGATACTGCAGAGTACATTATTTAAAAATAAACAATAAAAAAATTATATAATCTTCAATCTAAAATCAATATAGTGTTTACTTATGTGTGTGTGTGTATTGAATATTGATTTCCTCCTCCTTTCGAAGACACTCTTCTTAAACCCACAGCTAATATATATACATACACTTAGCTAATATATATATAAATATTAGCTAAGTGGAATTGATCAGCCAGCTCAGAAGGGATCAAGCCGCTCGGAAAGTGATTGATCGTCGACGATTGGAATTGCTCTTCGTTGGATACGATCACGTGGAAGGAGGTGGTACTGGGGAGTTCTCGCCAAAAGGTGAAAACAGTACTCCATGTGAAGTACGAATTTGCGCTTCATACGGTGTGCATAGTCGTAGGCGACAATTTAGTGCTTGCCTGTATGTAAACATTTTGATACGTTAATGCTATGGCGATTATTGCTGGCGATAGTCGCCTAAGATTTCTCGCACCAAAACGTGCAAGAAACTCTCCCCATCTAAATGGGCCTTAATTCGCATTGAGCATTCGTTGTTGTATCCTACGAATGCAGCATGTTTCTGCCGCGCACCTTGCACGCCCATAGAGTTGCAAAGCGGTGGCCCGGTGTGAAGTATCGTTTCGCCTTGCTGAGGTCACCAAGCTTCTAGATACGTCAATGCACTGGGCACCCCGATGCTGTCTGTGATTTTAGGCTGAATTTAGTGTCACGCCGACCACACGCGCACCGTCGGCGCTGATGGTCGAGATATATGAACTTCCAGAAAGCGTTTTTGAATGACGCGTAGCTATAAGCGCGCACGGTGGTCAGCGCTGATGGCTGCGCGACCGTACGCGTCGCGCATCGGCGCGCGCCGCGTAGCTGTCAGCGCTGACGATCGCTAGAGCGCCTCTGCTTTCAGAGAGCGTTGTAGTGTCGAACGGAGCGGACGTCGTCAGCGTGTACAGTCATGGCAAATCGCGAAGTGAATACAGGTCGAGTTATCGACGAGGTACGCCTGAGGAAGAAATTGTGGGAAGCATCCGATCCACTCTTCAAAAATATCTTGTTGACATTCGAAAGTAATTAAAGGATTTTCTTTCGTCTGCCCTCAAAGTGCGATAAATAAATAAAAATAAAATAAATCCAGACAAAGTCTCCTGCAACGGCTCTCTGCTCAATCAATGGATGAACAAGGAGTCTTCGTCGTCGCCGGTTTTTATTTTTTTGAGATAGGTAGTACAAAGCAGCAATAACTAATACACTCCGCATTTTTGTCTTCGTCTGTACAGTAAGGCGGTCAGTACGATACTAAAACGAACCACGCTGAGCGTCAGCGCTGACGTACTACGCGCTGATCTATGAGCGCTGACGGTGAGCGTGAGACTAAATTCAGCCTTAAGGAGTGTCGTCGAAGAGATGAGTAGCGACAAAGGATGTTTTGTCGCTTAGATTTAGTCCATTTCAGACTGAGACTCCACATAGCAGAGTTTTGACTTCAGACACAAATTTGTTCCAGTACTGATCGACAAATACCTGCACGGTCAGTGTAAAGAGTGACCCAGTTATGTCATCCGCATAGCAATGTATGTTGTTAAGTGGCAACATATAATTGATGTGAAAATGTGTATATGAGTATTTAGCCATATTATTGTTCATATTTTATGACGTTTATTGTATCTATTAGTAAATAATAAAACGTACACAATGAATGCCCAACAAATAGATGCCATTGCTACAATAATTATTTCCACTACCACTTGAAATTATTTTATCACACTAATTAAACAATTTCAATGTATCCTTGAACTACTCTCCGACTATAATCACATTGTCGGATAGAAACCTATGAGAAGGTACTTCTAAATTAGTAGGTGCTGGGCCTTTTCGAGCTCGACCTGCATTATCATAATGACTTCCATGGCAGGGACAGTAAAACCCTCCAACGTAATCACCAGAGTTAGGAATAGGAATACATCCTAAATGTGTGCATATCCCTATAACTACCAACCACTGTTGCTTAATCATTCGTTGTTCTGGTGTTTCGGGATCTTTAAGTAAAGAGAATGAAGTGTTGGCCTCAATACTTATTTCATTACTAGTCCTGTGTTTAATAAATAATGGCTTTCCTCGCCATTTGTATGAAGAACACATTCCTGGAGCAATGCCTGATATATCCACTTCTATAGAAGCAAGAGCAAGGACGTCAGCTGGGGCAGACATGGATGTAAGAAAATGAGTCAGTTCGCTTTTTAAACCGTACATTGCACACATCGACCCAACAAATCCAATTAAATTTGTGATACCTTGTTTTGAATACCCCGAATTCCAAGACGTTCTATTGATGTCTTTAAACTGATCTTTTCTATAGTAATCAAAATTTGGAAAATCCGTGTCGCGATGGAGGCGTGGATAATCCTTTTTAAAGCGAACCTGCGTGTATTGATTCAGGATTGTCACTGGATTTATAGTTTTTTTTTTAAATAATGATTTCGACATCGTGTATCATGATTTAACGATAAAGTAGGAAGAAGTTGCCGACAGCAATAGGTAAGCCAGACCTTAACGGTGCCGTAATGCAGCAAACACCGAGTTGATAAAAAAATCATTTTATTGTGGTTATTATAGCCGTTAGTTACAAAATTATATTATTTTAGGAAAATATAAAGAATGTTAGGTAGGTTGACATTTTAATGATCCCTTCAAAATTGTCAGTTCCAAATACAAAATTGAATGGTACGTATTCTATTGTCTATTGTTAAGAAATCTTTAAGGCTTTGTTCGTTACTTTTTCAGTCACAGATTTTATTTCTGCAATTTTTGACAAATGGGAATGCACAATAATCTTACTAATTTTAATAATGTAATCTTGTACATTGTACATCTAGTACATCTTGGGGGGTTGCATTTAGACATGCGTCACCTGAATTTGATGATACTGATTATATAGGTGTCTCGGGGACCTTGATTGGAACCCCTCCAAGTAATTTTGAGTGCCGGAGTTGCGTCTAAGTATAACAAAAATTAAATATAATTTTGTGTATTGTACTGAAATTCGTTAATCTGGCCAGACGATTACGGCAGATGTCTATTGTCAGCAACTACAAACCCTGATGGAAAAGCTAGCCGGAAAACAACCAAGGCTGGTCAATCGCTTTAGGCCACAGCTGCTTCACGACAACGCTAGACTACACACTGCACAACATATCTACTGCTACCTAATTAGAGAAGCTTCAATTGGAAAGTCTAAGATATCGTGGGTTAGTCAACAGTCAACACCGCCTTCAACGATTTTATTGATTCCCGTCCGAATGTTTTTTTTTAGTAAAGGGACCAATGAACTATAGAACCTATAAGATGGCAAAAGTGCATGGCTAGCAATGATACATACTTTGATTAATTAAATATATTCTATTTAAAGAAAAAACTACCTTTTGTTCCTCCTATATTCAAAGAATTTTTAAAGAATGGAGAAAAAAATTTTGTATCCTGGTTTCCTGGTCCTATTTTACATTCATTATTGTAAACATAATATAACTTAATATTATCTATGCTTAACGCGAGTATTGTATACACCTTTGAATAAAACTTCAACAGATATACAAACTTTATGACCTGCACATCAGCGTCGACACGGCTATATTTCAGTAAATATACAAAACTTCGCGGTATAGATAAGAAAAAAAATACACTAAAAACATCACAGTTCCTCCCATACAAAACGCCAATTTCATATTTAAGGACCTAATATTAGCTTCTTGCTGAGTACTCTACTTGTGTAGTCTAGCGACAGCAAGCTCCCATTACCCGTTTGCTCTCGAAGTTTAATATTTTTCTCGACTTTTAACCCGATGCGACCTATTTATATTAGTACGTATGGCCGTAGTACGGGATTAAAGTGGAATTTAAAAAATTACTTAGATAAGCTTGAAATATAGCCAGTTTTTTCCTTATTTGCGAGTATTTCCCTACCTCCTTATATATATATATATATATTTTGCGTACATATTCTGTAAATAAATAATATCGTTTGTGACGATGTTAATTTTTTAGTAGTTAACGACCCGGCACTCGGTATATACCAAATGAAATAAATCAAAGTCTAAATAAGCTGTAAATTATCTATTTATTGCAAAACCACTTTAATAAATATACTTTGGCAAAACAAAGATCTAGCATTTAATATAATACAAATGTGCCTTGCTGTATTCAGTTTTAGAAGTTAGTGACAAATTACACTTTGCTACTAGAGGCATTGTTTATATTTATATCTAGGAAGTCCTTGAGCAATGTTGTACGTCTTTTTTCCGCGATATCCATTTGATTTTCCAAGTCACCCCTATCCGTGGTTTCCGCCCTTTCTACTTTCCAAGAGAGGTTTTCGATTTCTGCTTCTAACTGCGCCTGTTAATAGAATTTTTTATTTTTTATTTTAGACTTTGTTGCAAGAAATACAGTACAATCAAAATATTTAAATAAAAAAGAGCGCAACTGTCAGCCTTATCGCTTTCGAGCGATATCTTCCAGGCAACCGCTGTGAAGAAAAAAGTTAAATTATACAAGGTGAGCGCAAGAAGTGCAAAACTACATAAGACATACAATCACTTAGACATGGAACAAAACAAAGAAAGTAAAACAGATGTAGGTAATAAAAAGGACACGTTATATATAGTTTAAGATACTTAGTTTATTACTATCAAACCGGCTTAGGTGGGATCTCTTATCACAAAGGGAGGTCTCAATAACTGGTTTAATTTACCTGCTGATATTCAAAGAGCTCCTTCCTTGGGCCATTATCCATATAATAGGCAAACGGATATGTATACTGTAAAGTATAACGACAACGCTTTAATAGCTTCGCTGAATCCCATAAATACTGCCAATCTATCCATGTCCCTTCTCCAGCCATGACCTATAATACGAAAGAATTTACTTAAATACAACAATTCTGTTCTGAAAAGTAGCTGTTTGCTTTTTTAATGAATGGAGAAAAAAATTATGTATCCTAGTTTCCTGGTCCTATTTTACATTCATTATGGTAAACATAATATAACTTAATATTATCTTTGCTTATCGCGAGTACAACACATTTGAATGAAACTTCAACAGATATAAAAGCGAATTAATTACTTACAGTAAATATACAAAACTTCGCGGTATAAATAAAAATAAAAAATACACTCAAGGTTAAAAACATCATAACAAAACTTTTACCCTTTCAAAGATTTCAAAAGATTGTGTATAACTATAACTGGGTATTTTTAATAGTTTGAATTGAATTGTTTCATTTCAAAGAGACGTGATTAAAATCGGCGACGGATTAGACTTACTGTATATTTTATTTGGTCTTTGTCCGACAAGTCTCAAAATATTATGGCATTAAATAGCGATCTTACCTTTTGGTTAATACGACTTTTTAAACATGCTAATGTTTGCTCCTCTAGTTTAAGAGACCGTGCATGATTCTCCCACCGCTCATAATAATGAAGATATTTTTTTAAAGCTTCTCTAGCCTGTAAATACATTTTATATTAGTAAGTATTCAATCAGCGTTCTAAGCCTAATTTGTTTATCTGACTGAATTTCTAACCCAATCGTTATTTATTACCTGTGCATGTTGACTGTCACTAGCCAAATTTGGGTCTTCTTTATAACGACTGCACTCATAGTATTCAGAGCCATGGCACTTCCAGTCACCCAAACAAACCCAACAGAAGTCATGTCGGCATGACCCACACTGCATGTGATTGCAGCCACCATTTTTCTCAATACATATTTGACATTTAGGACAATCCTGTTAAAAAATTGAATCTTTATTTACGGACAGTACTTAAAATAACATTATTTTTAGAGAGGTAACAATACATAGTAGACTAACAAATATGTTAAAAATAACAATATGTCAAGACATGTGTGTAAAATATCAATGTAACATCCACATTAGATCCTAAGGGTAAATTTAAAATTATGGTATCTTACATTAAATACATATTTTAAATGAATTATTGTGTTGTAAATAATACTTCTGTCATATGTCAAAGAATTTCAAGTAATAAGTTCCTATGTAAATTATCTTTCAATACCTTTGTATTAGCACTTATATAGTTTGCAGTCTCAGAGTCATCAGCACATTTAGTAAGCCAGAGACGTATTGTAATGCAGTCTGTTGGGGCATGATGAGGTGCCCCGCAAGAGAAACAAGTCAACAATTCACAACCTTGACATTCTACACGGCGTGCGCCTTCGCGTACCCACGCTCGAAATAACCACTGAAAAATTATTAACACATCAATCTTTCTTTTGTAACAAAAATAAACTAAAGCTCATAAATTATCTAGTTTATTTGAAGAAGAAAATATAAATCTTACGTAGGACCCAACAATATTTTGGTTTAGACAAACAAAATTCTTTTTTATATATTTAAGTGGATTCAAAACTAATGATAACTTTGATGAACTTAAATACCTGACAATTAGGACCAGGGCAAAATCTCAATTGAGGGTGAGATTTCACATGATCCTTGAACATAAACTGTTGATATCTATCTCTTACAGATGGTTTAGTGACATGGGATAAAACAAAATCCTCAGGCGCTCTCACTTCACACTCAGGAGCCATGCATTGGATGGTATTAGATACACCTGGTAAAAAATATTATTTATTAAAATATATATTCTGTAGCTGTAAAATATTTATTTTACTTTATATTTTTATCTAGATTTACCAGCTATCAGTTGTATATAAGGTAAATATGCCCTAAAAAAATCAATTATACTTTTAGCCAAGAATAACTAGACCTTTAAATGACAATGTAGTCTCACAAAATTTATATTTTGTGTATGAGAAATTTTCAGGACTTCAGTAGAACTCTCATGTAGGCAAGGGCTAGATGGAGAGGTGAAATAAAGTATATCAGATATTACAAATAACTGCTTAGTAAAATCACCTTGCATAATTTGGACTTCAAAGTGCATCGCCCAACAATCATTGCAAAAATAATGTCCACAAGCCAATGCACTAAATTTTTGCAAAAGATTTGTGTCAGCACATACTGCACAATGTGAACCATTTGAGTTCCCTGGTGCAGACGGTACACAGGATTTTACACGGCTAAAGATTAGTACTTCATTAGCATTTTCTTTATACTTATTTATAATCTCTTGTGCATTCCATTCATATGCATGCAGAATCACCTGTAAATTTGATAAGAAACTACTTCACGTATATTGTTTACATATAATACAGCTTAAATAAAAAATATTTTGTAAGTAATAGAAGAATAAGATTTACTGCGTCTACCTTAGCGAGTGAAGGCGTTATTTGAAGGCTATTACTGAGTAATTCAATAGACTCATTCAGTAGCTTTTCAACTTCTTCAACTCTTAAGCAGGAGAACAAAAAATATTCAGGATCAGTTTTACTCTGATCAACGGTGTCCATATCACAGTCATCTACCTCACCATAGTAATCATACTCATCACCATCATTATCTGAATACTCCATATCCGATTCCGCAGACATTTTGTAGTATTAAGTTTTATATCACCAAAAAAGAAACAATAAATGCACCATCGATTATATAATAAAAGTTGATAAATTATTACAAATGCACAGTAAATAAAAATAAAGCTTAGATTTCTATTTTTTTCTATCTTCCATTTTTGCACTTTATATTTTATTTTTTCCAATGTAGAGTTCTAAAGCGCTAATCGCTATTCGTAGCATATCGTTTTATAGTCAGTTGTCGTTTGACTTGACATTGATATTTTACTTATTTAATTTGATAATTTTTAGATGACAATGACAGCATGTCGTCGGTTGTTTTTAAGCTATTGCATAGCTTCTATCGCGGGCCTTGAGCGTGGAGACTCATGGATTTATGTTCTACGTAAAAATACATGTGTATATTTCAATGTCAATTCAATTTCACGAAATGTCAAAGAAAGGTCACCTTGATGAAGTTCACCTTCTGCGATTTTCAAATTTGTTAGTTCTTTGAAAGAAATTTCTTTTAGACAAATTGGTGCGTAAAATCTATTTTATAAATTAACGTAAACACAAATTATTCTGTGTGATTGTAACTAAATACTTTTGTAATAAACTGGTTAAATCTTCTTCATACATTTCGTAATAAATATAAAAACAATAATGTTCTATTGTTTTAGGTGTTTAGAAAGTTTTGTAACTTAAAAATGGATAGTTCAAAGACGCAGCGATTTATAGAGCGAGGCTCTCACAAAGGGAAGGGTCTCGCAGTATTTACGAGTGGCGGTGACTCTCAGGGTATGAATGCAGCTGTACGCTCCGTGGTTAGGATGGGCATCTATTTGGGCTGTAAAGTTTACTTTATCCGCGAGGGATATCAGGGTATGGTAGACGGCGGTGATAATATAGAGGAAGCTAACTGGTCGTCTGTTAGTTCTATTATTCACAAGGGTGGTACTATTATTGGTTCAGCTCGCTGCATGGATTTCGTGTAAGTTATTTTAAATTATAGCTGTTGGCGTTATCCAAATATGTTGTAAGTTTGAAACAAAGCTATAAATCTGTTGCAAAATTATAACAATGGTGATTACTTTTTAGGCAAAAAGAAGGTCGCCTTAAAGCTGCTTGCAACTTGGTTACTCGAGGTATTACAAACTTAGTTGTTATTGGTGGGGATGGCTCTCTTACTGGAGCTAACCTCTTTCGTCAGGAGTGGTCTGACTTGTTAGATGAGCTTTTGGCGAATAACAGGATTACTAAAGATCAAAGAGAAAAATATAAATACTTGCATATTGCTGGACTGGTATGTTTAATTCAAAACTGTTGTCCTGATTTTAAACTGTTTATTAACATATATGAATTTTTTTATACAAACAAATCTCATAAATTGTGGTCAACTACAACAAATTTTGTTGGAATTCTATTTCTCACAGTTTTTACATAATACATTGTCATAAAACCAACTTTTATTTAAGGTGGGCTCCATTGATAATGATTTTTGTGGGACAGACATGACAATTGGTACAGATTCTGCCTTACATCGCATTATTGAAGCAATTGATGCAATTGTTAGTACAGCCTACTCCCATCAAAGGACTTTTATTATGGAAGTTATGGGTCGCCACTGTGGGTATGTTTCAAAATAATTTTGATGTAATTGGAAAGGAAGAAATATTATTAATGCAGTGTTTTAAATGGTTGCCATGGTGAGAAATCATTTATTTTGGATTTGACTATAAAGGGCTTAGTGCAGTGAATAATAAAAATATTAGTTTTATGTCCACTGTCAAACCATACACATAAGATTGCATCAGAGCCAATTCAAACATAGTCTTATCTGATAACATTGAATGGTTAAGATATAATAAACATTTTTTGATAGATATCTTGCTCTGGTCACCGCCTTGTCATCGGAAGCAGATTTTGTGTTTATACCGGAAGCACCACCTGCAGTTGATTGGAGAGATAAACTTTGTTATAAGTTAGAGCAGGCAAGGGTTTAAATGATAATCCTTAATGCCCTCTTGTTCCTATCCTATGTATTGCTCATTTGCTAGTTGTTTTCCTCTTGAATGATAACAAACATCCCTTTTTAGTTTTCTTGCAGTGTACACAGCACTATGCACGGATGCTACTTATAGTTTTATTTGTGAAGACCCAGCGCCTCTCAATTGGGACAAAAAGATGTGTGCAAAAATAAAAGAGGCAAGAAATAAAATCTTGTTTATGGGAGCAGGATCATAAGTTTCATTTCATCAATGAATTGGCTCTTTGTGGTGTTTAAATTCTAATGTGTATGTTAAAATCTTGCAAAAATCTAAATTTACAAATCTTTCACTGGGGATTATATGCATGATCCATTATGGTCGGGTGCTGCTTGTTGCAGTTATCTGGCTCTAGTTGCCGCTCTGTCAAGCGAGGCTGACCAAGTGTTCATACCTGAAGACCCTGTTCCCTATAATTGGGTTGAGAAACTTTGCAAAAGATTGCAACAGGTATGACCTTAATTGAGTGGCACTGTTCGAGTTAACAAACCTTGTATTAACTGTTGCAGTAAGTGGAATTAAAATCAAACTGCTGACTCTAATTTACATATTTCCTTCATGACATAATACATGTTAAAAACTATCTAACTTCTCTTCTTAGCAGTTTTTGCTTTATTTTTCTTGCATCCTTCTTGCACGTGATACAGAATTATTTTACATTATGCTTTTTTGTTATCTATGCATGAGAGCTTGGTATTGAGGTTAGGGAAAATTTCAATTATTCATTACAACCTTATCACGGTGTTTCAAAACTATCATGGTTTTTGAAATACATACGAAAGTATTAAGATATTGTATTAAATGCAGCTTTTTAAATAGGAACGTAAGTCTGGTCAGCGTTTGAACATCATAATAGTAGCAGAAGGTGCTATTGACAGAGAAGGCAAGCCGATTACTGCAGAGCTGGTGAAGAAGGTTGTAGTGGACAATCTTCAGCAAGACACCAGAATAACTGTTCTAGGACATGTCCAAAGAGGAGGTTCACCCTCAGCATTCGACAGAATATTGGTAAGAATTCTGGCGTTAAACGTATCTAAAGTAGGTGGCGATTTAAGTGCATTTACTCGAAATTGTAACTTGAATATACACAGTAATTCCCTTATTAAACAAATATAACTTAATATTCTATTTTTTACGTCATTATATATAGTGTACGTATTTTTAAAAAAGATCGTTCTAGTAAACTACAATTTAAAGGAACTATATGTGCATGACCTGAGTCACGTATACACCGAGATCGAGTGACGTGATATAGGAAGCACCTTATTGAAGAGTCAATGACCTCTGACTTGGCTGACTACTCTGTCCACTTTATATATGGCATTTGACAACAGCCCTGCGATTCTGTAACTCACACAGCGGTTTTCGCATCGGCGGTCGCTCTCAAATCAGTCGTGAAGCAGTTATTTTATGATTTGGCATTCTAATAAACAATAAACTACAAGCTCCCACCTTATCAGAATGCCAAATCATAAAATGACTGCTTCACGACTGATTTGAGAGCGACCGCCGATGCGAAAACCGCTGTGTGAGTTCGAAAAGTGAGTTATAGAATCGCAGGGCTGCTTACTTAACGTACCCATTGGGTTAATGTGTGTCTTATTTATAAACTATGAATGAAAGTCGCCCTCGGATCTTTTTTTATCAAATAGTTTTCGGGATTTTTTATCAATTGGTTCTGATTTAAATTTATATAGAAATAATGTTTGTCGAAGTCGAAGGGATAATTAATATAGTACCTAAATGCATTACACAATTAAATAGCGTTTTTCCCACATTAAATGTGTCAACCACGTGACTATAGAAGCTGAAGCAAATGAACAAGAGCTACTTGAAACAAATTCTGACGACAAAGTATGAAAACATACACCTTGAACTTGTATGATCTTTTTGCGTTTTCAGAGATAATATGATATGATAGATGATTAAACTATAAATGTTGATTGGTCATCAACATCCTTTAGCTTATCCTTAGTTTAAAATTTCAGTTCACTTTTTCCGATAAATCAATTATTTGCTCAAGGGAGCGTTCAAGTATTACGTCAGGCAATTTTTGGAGATTATTGTCCCCCCCTCCCCCATGTATCGCCCCGTAACGTATTTCTGTTAGTACGAGGTCCCGCTGCAGGATTGGTGTGCTCATCGACTATTTGTTTAAAACCAAATTTTTATGTTTATTTATAATTAAGAGAATATATATTTACTAGGGTGCCTATCAAAATTTGGCCGCCATTATGTCTGCACACACGTCCGGTGAGTTTTCATGACTTTACTCGATTTGTATTAAATAATAATATCCCCCTAGGGATGTCGTATGGGTGCTGAGGCAGTTATGGCTTTGATGGAAGCGACCCCGGCAACAGAGCCATGTGTTGTATCTCTGGATGGCAACCAAGCTGTCCGACTACCGCTCATGGAATGCGTGAGGCGTACTAAAGCCGTGTCCCAGGTAAATCTTTTTTTGTTCGTGTAGAATATATAATAATGCGTTCGTTTTTATTTTGATATAACTTCTAATTGCTAAATAAATACACAAACAAACTGAAAGTCACTGTTTTTGCTCTATGTAATGGCTGTTTAAATACAAAACTTATTTCATGCCTAAATGTTTGGTATAGATATATAGGTAAGACTTACCAATTAAAATATCTTTACGTTTTAGGCAATGACAGATAAAAATTGGGAGCTAGCGGTGCAACTACGCGGGCGTAGTTTCGCACGTAACTTGGAGACTTACAAAATGTTGACTCGTTTGAAGCCACCTAAGGCAGCTTTTGACGAATCTGGAAAGCCTTCGGTAACTACTTTTCATCGTTCTCTATTGATCTGTAACTTCGTTTGTTCTGGGAAAACGAAAGCTGATTGGGACTGCAAAGAATTCCATTCGCCGTCAAAGCATAAACAATAATCTCGATAAAAAATTGTATAGTAATTAAAAAAAAATCTTAAATTTAAATAAAAGTCATTAAATGGTTGTAATAAGTAAAATTTTGTTGGCTGCGCTTAGGTACTCACCCTACACTGATCTTAGTCACAAATACTTGGTAGCTGGCTTGGTTAACGCTTATGGAATTTGTATGAAAATGGCATCGTAAACGATCGTGAATTTATATCATTTTTTATATTAGATATAGACCATTGAAATGTTACATGGGCTGAACATTCTTTAGACGCAGTTTTATTTGTGGGACATGTAGGGGGGAGGGTAAATAGAAGCTTAAACCCAAGTTTGTGGGGTTGGCGCCCTTGTCCCCCGGCCGCCATATTGGAAAAAGGGGTGAATACTCGGCTCCTAAACTATCCAACGTACAAAAAATTTGTAAAGACATATTTTGTAGCAAATCGCTTTGCCTACAATTATGTCTATGTAACATTTTGTCATAAATCCAATGTATCCAATTTTTATCATATCATAATACCCAAAGTATAATCTTTTTGTTTCCTTGACTTTTTTAAGGGTTCACAGTATTCTGTGCCCTCATTGTCTTGGACATGCCTAAAACGATAATGGTAGGCACTAGATACAATAAATAAGTCATGCCTCATACCTTCACTGTATGAGCATTAATTAACCAGTATTGGAACATACTACGTGAAGCCTGACAGTCGTGGACCTAGGCCTATTAGTCTAATATTTACTAGGGCCATTTTTCCCAGTAAAAATTTTTGTATACTGCTTTCAGGAAGGTTTGACTTTTGCGGTGATGCACGTAGGTGCGCCCGCTTGCGGTATGAACGCGGCCGTGCGCTCCTTCGTACGTAATTGCATCTACCGTGGTGATACTGTGCTAGGCATACACGACGGTGTGGAAGGATTCATTAGCGGCAATATCGTCAAGATGGATTGGTAAATATATTTTTACATGGTATGTTAATGAATGTATAATATGTCGCAGATTCAACGCGATTTAATAATTACAAAATTGGTATCACTACCGTCGTCCGACCTTATTACTTAATATTTAAAACACAGTCAGTGCGCACGTCCGGCGCAGGCGCCGATCGGAAAGCAACTCTACTTTAAACACGTTAAACGCCAATAGAAAAATTAAAAATCGTAAAAAAAACTTTTTGCTGTAATTTGTTTATTATGATAATATATATATAAAAAAATTGTTTTTTTTTTTTAAATTCTGCCCATGGGTTACATAGTTATAGCCAAATATATAACTGAGGTCACCGGTGCACCCCATGGCGTTCAACGATCGATTCTTCTTCGTGGCAAAGGCCGAAACCTATTATTTTCTAATATGCAGGACTGTTCTAACTTCGCATAGCTGGACATTGTTTAAATATTTTGTATATTTATCGTATGTTACTCAGGATCGAGTATCAGGATATTGGTAAAAGTATTTTTGAAATCGGTCCAGTAGTTTTGAGTTTATTCGTTACAAACATATACAAAATATATATCTTGTTTCAAATTTTAGTATAGATGATGTACAAAGACATACGCACCACGGACCTAGTGAAAATCTAAGTGCGGAAACTGAATCCACCAACCAATAACAGTACAAAGATATTTTTTATACAAAAAAGACAGACTGGACTCTCTTTGATATTTGTCTATACCTGTATTACATGTTAAGAGCCACTTTGAATTTGTAGTAGAAGAACTTGTTTGTGTAATCTATCTTCATGGCTCCATTGGAGATTTAAGCCAAATTGGGCCTTAAAAAGCTGATTAACCAAATACACTAATAAATTAACAAATGTTCCGTTATGTTTAAATGGAGTTCCTAAATCATTATGGCCCTAATCTCATCAACACGTGATTTAACAGACTTGTCAACCATACCACCGAAATAATGCAGTTAAACGCCTTTTTGAGGTGTAAAGAAGAACTACAGAAGAAGAAAAACAGATTTCTTGAACTTATGTTTGTAATAGGTCTGATGTAACCGGTTGGGTCGGCCAGGGTGGTGCGTTTTTAGGAACAAAACGTACTCTTCCAGGAGACAAGAAAGGGGAAATCGCAGCGCGCATAGAACAATTTAATATTCAAGGATTACTCATCATTGGAGGTTTTGAGGTAATGGCAATGGAGGGATATTTTTAATTTAAGCTTTATTTAAAAGTGATAATTTATTATTCATATTTAACCCTTTAGTATTGTATTTTTTATATACTATAGTTAAATCAATATTTATAATGGTTTAAAAGTTTAAAACATTTTAAGTAAAATTGTTTGCATATATTTTGTTACAAATGTACCAAAATAAACAGTTGACTACATTGTACACATCTTATAGGTGCATGCCAAAAGCCTCTATACATATATCATTACTTTAAGTATACATATAAAAATCTTTTCTTAAATATATATTTTTTTAATTAAAATATTATTTCAGGCATACCAAGCTGGTCTAGAAATGTACGAGTCGCGTACTCAGTATCCTGAGTTCCGTATTCCACTAGTTGTGATTCCAGCCACGATCAGTAACAATGTACCTGGAACTGATTTTTCACTGGGAACTGACACCGCTCTTAATGAAATCACTGAGATCTGTGATAGGATCCGCCAATCGGCTCAGGTAACTTTAACTAACCAACTAGCTCTAGCTTTCATTTCGGAATGACTCATTTGATTCCAATATCTCTAGACATTTAATTAAATATCGATATTCAATCAACTCGGTAAAGTTCCGTCAGACAAGTGACTGATTGAAACGTTTAACGAGTTTCCTAAACGTTCCTAGACAACAAGACGCATTTCAACTTTGGTAGGGATTCAACTAGAGATTCAATTAACTCTCTGATTTAACTAATTTCCTGCGACATATATAGAATCAGAAATAAAAATCAAGAGTGACTATCAGTGGCTATGCAGACAGAACAAAACAAAATGTTAATTATTATAATAAAAAATAAAATTAATAAAAAAATCGATTTCGAATAATATGTAAATATATTTTTTTAGGGAACAAAACGTCGAGTGTTCATCGTGGAAACGATGGGAGGATATTGTGGCTACTTGGCGACGTTAGCTGGTAAGTCAATTTCGCATCGGTGGTACAATTCAATTAAAAACCGTAGTCTGAGTCGTGAATTATATGTATATATACATGTAAAAACAAGTCACTCCGCCATGATTTTAAATCAGAAATGGTCATATCAGATTTATTAGTGAGTATAGAATCTTCACAAATGCTATTTTAAGTTCTGTTAATTCATTCAAAAATTTAAATTAAACATAATTTCAAGAAGCCAAAACGAGATTTTGTGTCACGTGACTGACGTATTTTAATTAAATTAATTATTATTTACAAGATATTTTATCAATAACCATTTACTTTCCATACTGTCAAATAATCTATTGGGCATACAATTTTCTATATGAGTTTCGCTTGACGTCGTTTGACCGGTCACGGTGGTGTAATGGTTGCAGCTCCTTACAAACGTTGTGTAAAATAAAAAACTTGGCGATTAAAAAGAGTGGCGGAGAGTTTATTGCCAGTTCTTCTCTTCCGTTCTACGCCCTTAATTTGAGAACTGGCATTATTGTATATTTATTATGCATTTATTGTATATTTCTTTTACGTTACTTAGACGTTCACGTGTACACGACATTGTGTTACCTGTACAGGGTGTCCCAAAAGTCGACGTCAAGTCGAAATTTTCTCATAGGTAATGCCACACCATGACACCAGTTATCAGAAAAATTAAAAAAAAAATAAGTCATGTATTTTTGAAGTTATGGATATTTTTTTGTTATTCCAGAAAATGCACACCATGTGACAGTTTTTTCATTCCTGTTGTTACAAATATTTACTTTTTGCCAATTTTTTTTCTCTTACGTCATCCCGAATAGTGTTTTATGTAACCTATGATCCTAAACTCTGTGCTGATCACTCCAACTTTGGTACAAATACACAATAACACGTAAGTCCAGGGAAAAGTAAAGGTCGTCGTAGATCACAAATGTAAAATCCAAATCACAAGCAAACAAGTCCGTAAACGAAGCCAAAGTAGTTAAAACACAAAATAACACCAGCGAATACGAAAAGATGCGTAGTAAACGAAGGAGCGTTGCGTACTGACCTGTAGTGCGTGTGTCAATAGCAATAAGTAGCGTCACTATCTGTGTCGCTCACACTTTACGCCATCTTATTTAAACCACGCTGTGGTCATTAGGAACGCTTTGGGTACACTAGAATAGTTTTTTGTAATTCCAGAGAAATTTTTAAAAAACAGACTTTGTTTAACAAAAAAATTTTTTATGGCCGATCTAAGAAATAATGAAGTAAGTATTATACCACGTTAGAATCCTTATTAAATGCGCGAACTTTTAAAGCTGCTTGCCAAACTGGAGTAGTACATTTTTTTTTCAGGACGATCAGTTGAACTAGTGCGAAAAATTAATTTTGAAAACTTGGTACGGTATAAAATGACATTTTCCTACAAGTTCGAGTGATCGGCACAGGGTTTAGGATCATAGGTTACATAAAGCAATATTCGGGATGACGTAAGAGAAAAAAAAGTGGCAAAAAGTAAATATTTGTAACAACAGGGAATGAAAAAACTCTCACATGGTGTACATTTTCTGGAATAAAAGGAAAATTTCCATAACTTCAAAAATACATGACTTAATTTTTTTTTTTGAATTTTTTTGATAACTGATGTGGCATTACCTATGAGAAAATTTCGACTTGACGTCGACTTTTGGGACACCCTGTATAGGCAGCGGCAGGTAAGTCTAGCGCTGGCCGATACGTGGAGAAGATTGCTGCGCATGTGTACTGTCGCGCACGCAATACATTATATGCCACTTTGATTAATGATTAACTAAATAACGTTATTAAGCTGAATCTCACTTTGTTTCAAAGAATCAATGATTTCGTTAGATTCCCTTTTTAAAAAACAATTCACGTCATAAACCATTTTCCTGGCTTGTCTTTTCAAAACAGTATTTGTTCTAGGCATATTCACTTTAAAGTCACAAACAAACTTAAAAACAAATAACAAACAACAAATTCAAACGTAACAAAAAACAACAAAACGTGTTAAACAGTAACAATAATATTAATGACGCGACTGTACGCGGGATGTGCGCGGGGCGTCGTATCGGTGCGGGGGACGGAATGCGACTGGAGAGCCAATCGACGCTACGCGCGCCTGCTCTTCATTCCGCTAGCCCCCCTCACCTTGTTTTTTACTTCTGCGCAATAACGGTCAGCGCTAGAGTTTCGTGCCGCTACTTGTATGAATAATAATGATTTTTGACTTTTGACGGGGGATTAAGGAACTGCCCCCATAGCGAGCAGATTTGGGATTTTAGTTGCCCTCACGGACCGACGCCATAGTCCCCGCGGCTGTATTTTTTTTATTGAAACAAACTGCAACTTTTTTTAGTAATGATGAAAATTTATGAATGAAATACCCTCATTATATTAAAACAGTAATAAATTGAATTAAAATTTAGGTCTCGCTGGCGGCGCGGACGCAGCTTACATCTACGAAGAGAAATTTTCTATTAAAGATTTGCAGCAAGACTTGTACCATATGGCGTCCAAAATGACTGGTGGAATTCAACGCGGTCTTATACTTAGAAACGAGAAGGCCAATGAGAACTATAACACAGACTTCATGTATCGCCTTTACTCTGAAGAGGGCAAGGGACTTTTCACTGCTAGAATGAATGTATTGGGTTAGTCATCATATTTATAATGTAACAACATTTTAACGATAACTTATAATTTTTAGCGTATATGGTGATTTTATATTGTTTTTTATAACAATAAGTATCTTTCATATAATATATATATATATATATATATATATATATATAATAAAACTAAGTCGATAAAATGTGCGTGCCGATAAAACTTAAAAAGGAGTCCCGACACGATAAAAGGACTTATGTGGTGTGATAGCCCTTTATCCCCCCTCGAACAAGAAAGTTCCCGTTTTAATCTAAAGGGCATGTTTTTAAAGATATATAAGGGAATTTCCGACCCTTCAACTTGGAAATTAAGTGCAGTGACGCCATCTGTTATCGAATATTTGAACTTCGTTCAAGACAACGATTGTTTGGGTTGCATTTCCAAAAGCGTTGCGAGCAATTGTAGCATGTGTAGTAGTGACACGAAATTTAAAATTCCAATTTCAATAGTCTTAAATTTAATTTGTTGCTATAATAAAGTTATTAAATTTTGTGTATTTATCGTCGTCTTCGTCTGAAAATTGGAACTCCAATCATACTACTCAGAAATCTCAACTCCCCAAAATTATGTAATGGAACTAGAATGATCGTAAAACAGCTATCGAATAATATCATTGAAGCTGAACTTATTTCTGGAAAGACCAAAGGACAGACAGTATTTATACCTAGAATACCTCTGATCTCTTCGGAATTGCCATTTCAATTTAAAAGACTGCAGTTTCCAATAAAATTAGCCTTTAGTTTTACAATTAACAAAGCGCAAGGACAAACTTTAAAATATTGTGGCATTAACCTCAAAGAATCCTGCTTCTCTCACGGTCAGCTATATGTAGCTTGCTCAAGAGTAGGAAATCCGAAAAATTTATGTATATATACTCCGGACAATAAAATGAAAAATGTTGTTTATAAACAAGTATTGTAAATAATGAGAAAACGTTTTCAATAAACTTTTTTTTTACTTTTTACGTCATAGTTTATTTTTTTATTTCGACTCTACCACGTCATCTCATATCTACTCCCGGGCGAAGCCGGGATTTTTAGCTAGTATATAATAAAACTAAGTCGATAAAATGTGCGTGCCGATAAAACTTAAAATGGAGTCCCGACACGATAAAGGGACTTATGTGGTGTGATAGCCCTTTATCCCCCCTCGAACAAGAAAGTTCCCGTTTTAATCTAAAGGGCATGTTTTTAAAGATATAAGGGACTTTCCGACCCTTCAACTTGGAAATTAAGTGCAGTGACGCCATCTGTTATCGAATATTTGAACTTCGTTCAAGACAACTATGGAGACTATCTGGAGTCTCCATAGTTGTGAGCCATTGCAGCATGTGTAGTAGTGGCGCGAAATTTAAAATTCCAATTTCAATAAAATCTTAAATTTCATTTGTTACTATAATAAAGTTGTTAAATTTTGTGTATTTATACGTCATTATTTAACGTATATTTTGGAGTTAAAGCGACATAATTTTAGTTATCCAAATTAGTTCTCAAAATATTTAAAAATTTCGGTTTTTAAATTTCGCGCCTTTACTACATACGCTACCGCTACAGAAGCTAGAAAGTTCCCGTTTTAATCTAAAGGGCGTGTTTCTAAAGATATAAGGAACTTTCCAACCCTACAACTTGGAAATTAAGTATAGTGGCGCCATCTGTTATCGAATATTTGAACTTCATTCAGGACAACGATTGTTTGGGTTGCATTTCCAAAAGCGTTGCGAGCAATTGTAGCATGTGTAGTAGTGACACGAAATTTAAAATTCCAATTTCAATAGTCTTAAATTTAATTTGTTGCTATAATAAAGTTATTAAATTTTGTGTATTTATACGTCATTAGCTAACTTATATTTTGGAGTTAAAGCGACATAATTTTAGTTATCCAAATTAGTCCTCAAAACATTAAAAAAAGTGGTTATTTCAAAGAGCAATTTTGGCCACTAAAAATAATATTGTTGATGATATCAATTTTAATATTCTAAAGAAAATACCTGGTGAAGAGAAAATATATAAATCGATCGACACGATGGTATCCATTGAAGAAAGTGTCAACTTCCCCACTGAATTTCTAAACTCTTTACAAGTACCAGGAATGCCATTACACTGCCTTCGTCTGAAAATTGGAACTCCAATCATACTACTCAGAAATCTCAACTCCCCAAAATTGTGTAATGGAACTAGAATGATCGTAAAACAGCTATCGAATAATATCATTGAAGCTGAACTTATTTCTGGAAAGACCAAAGGACAGACAGTATTTATACCTAGAATACCTCTGATCTCTTCGGAATTGCCATTTCAATTTAAAAGACTGCAGTTTCCAATAAAATTAGCCTTTAGTTTTACAATTAACAAAGCGCAAGGACAAACTTTAAAATATTGTGGCATTAACCTCAAAGAATCCTGCTTCTCTCACGGTCAGCTATATGTAGCTTGCTCAAGAGTAGGAAATCCGAAAAATTTATGTATATATACTCCGGACAATAAAATGAAAAATGTTGTTTATAAACAAGTATTGTAAATAATGAGAAACCGTTTTCAATAAACTTTTTTTACTTTTTACGTCATAGTTTATTTTTTTTATTTCGACTCTACCACGTCATCTCATATCTACTCCCGGGCGAAGCCGGGATTTTTAGCTAGTATAATATATAAAAAATCCTTCTAATATTTGTAATTATTTTTTAGTTAACGATATTACACATGACATATATTTAAACAATAAACATTATCGCAGGCCATATGCAGCAAGGAGGTTCCCCGACGCCATTCGACCGTAACATGGGAACCAAAATGGCCGCCAAGTGTCTCCACTGGCTCGTAGAGACAGTACAAAAGGGACCCAATAATACCGCAGAAACAGCCTGTCTTCTCGGAGTCGTCAAACGGCAATACAAGTTCACACCCCTTGAAGAGCTTAAGTTACAGACTAACTTCGCGTACGTATAGACTTTTTATAATGTTCCGCTAAATATTAAAGCTAATAAGCCATTGACATTGTTATATGTATAATAATTGTTTTACTCTGAAACAAATTTAAAAATCTCCGTCACCCTACCATCTAAACCAACTGTTATATAACTGAACCACAAACAAGTGAAAATATCACTATAAAAGTAAATTATAATTGTATTTGTTTCAGCGTTGTAAAGGTTTACTGTTTTTTTTAATATTTGTTTATCCGAGTGACACTGCGATAACGTTACGCTGCGAGTATCATGTATACCACCACAGACTCGCACATGCTTAGTAGGATTTTGCCATGGCCATAATTGAAATAAAAAAAAACAGATATTTCTTGAGTTAGCTAAAAAAAATATTGATGTGGTTCATTGGATGTCATCTGAACAATACACTTACACTTTTAAACCTTAATAAAAACAATGTTAAGATGAACAAGCTTTTACTCAGCAGTATTACGTATGGCTTACAAAAAAAAAGTGCTCAAGTATTTGATTCCGCTTTAAGCTTTTTGTTTGAGTTTGTAAGTCATGATACAATTGATTAACGAAACGTACATTTCATAGATTTTTTTGTATTTACAGTCAAAGGGTGCCAAAACAACAATGGTGGATGAAACTCCGTCCACTGCTTCGTATTTTGGCCAAACACGATTCGACCTACGAAGAGGAAGGAATGTACATGACAGTCGAACAGGGAGAACTCGATTCTGAAAGTGTTATTTAAACTTCTAGTCAAAAGTATTATTTTACCTTTATACTTTTTATGTAGAAAGACATATTATATTGTCATTAATATGTGGTATTCCTAAACAGTAAGAAACAATAAGTTTAACAAAATACAAAACAAAAATTTGACGTTAGGCAGAATTGTCACTAATATACAATTTGACATCGTTTTTGCACCAGATTTTGAAAGTAATATACAAAGTAAAAAGTTAAATGAAAATGTTTTGTAACTGTTTCTGTTAATCAATGGCAAATATGTTTTTAAAACAGCAACACGAAAAGGACAAATTTATATTTTTATTCTCTAACAATGTATATGTATGTATGAATAAATTAAATTCAAATCAAATATTATATTTTGATGGTATATAACTAAGATGTAGCAGTTAGATGTGCATTATTATACTAGAAATTGCCAATATTAAACACTTAAAATATAGAATTACAAAATAGCTATCTATTTTTTAAATACAGCTTTTTCAATTTAATTTACTTTGTACCTTGTAAATCGTGTCATATATTTTTTGAGATTACATATTTAAGTGATTGATTTTTAGCTATTTTTTTTATTGTAAACAAATATATTTTGTTGTTCCTAAGATATATTTTTTAGTCGTCTCTGAGTAGGAAAACTTAGGTAATTTTTTATAGGTTATTTATTATCACTTTATTTCTAGAAGTAAAATATTGTATTTAATACTTACAATTATTTTAGGAGCTGAGCCGTTGACTATAAAAGAAAAGCTATTCTAAACTTGTTTTACATTGGTGTACCACAATTGTTTGTACGATTTATCTTGTAAATTTTAAGCAAATTAATTTGAAAATATCATATTTCGTGATAAAATCGATGTAGTAAATATACTCAGTAATCGTTGTTTAATGCTGTTTTATTTTTTAACTTTCCTGTGATTTAAAAGTATATTCCATTTATCATGGCCACTTAAACTGTTTTTGTCTTCCGTAGGTACCTACTGACATTTAAAACGATATACGAGTATATTGTAAATATACGAGTATATTGTAAATATGACAACAATTTTTATATGTAATTTTAGGTTGAATAGTACTATTTTAGATTTAGTACTTATTTTTATAGTACAGGGGACAAACGGGCAGAAGGCTCATCTAATGTTAAGTGATACATGTACGCCGCCCATGCATACTCAAACTGTCAGAAGGCTCGTGAGTTGCCGGCTCTTAGGACCCTAAGCCGAATTGGTTAGGAAATACTTAAGTGTGCAGCTGGTTCCACATAGTGGTGGTGCGCGCAAAGTGCCATAAAAAGCGCTCAGCCTTGCGATTCTGTAACTCACTTTTGAAACTCACACAGCCGTTTTCACAGCGGCGGTCGCGCTCAAATCAGTCGTAAAGCAGTCATTTTACGATTTTCGAAAAATGAGTTACAGAATCGCAAGGCAGTTGTGGAACGACGCGACGGACGTCGAGGTGATACGGGTGGAATTTCGTATTCTGCTTCGACGACCGATTATGAATCTCAGCTACAGGAATTAATTCGAACAACTCCTGTGAACACTCCATGGTAATGTGAAGGAAGATGCAGAGTGACGCCACATCTCTACGTAACGCTAAGTTACTGGCCGCCGACGATTCGAATCCCTCTTCGTTGAATTGGTTTCGTCTGGGTCAGATTAATTGTTCCTTAAATCGTTAGAGGTAAATTTTTATATTCAATTGGCCAGGCTAAAAACCTTTCTTTATAATAAGATGCAAATGAGTATAGTTCTACCGGAATCTCATTGCAAATAGCGAAATAAAAATTTGTTATGGGCAATACTTAAATTGGATTAAGTGATCTTGATACTGTTTAATTTTTATTTATATGTTTAGTATTAATGAACATGAAGTATACGAGTTACTAACTGACCCGGCAAACGTTCTTTTGCCATGAATATTATTTCTAGGAAACATTTTTTAATTCAATAAAAATAACTATCTACATTACTAAAAAATAGGGAATGATCGTAGAGGGGTGAAATTAAGGGTTGTATGTATTTTAGTATACTGTATCATAAAAATTAGGGGTGGCCGATTCTCAGACTTACTGAATATGTATAAAAAATTTCATAAGAATCGGTGGAGCCTTTCGGAGGAGTATGGCACTAGCATTGTGACGCGATAATTTTATATACGATTTTGTACTAAGAATGCTGTTATACATGGGGTTCTTAAGATAGGAAAATATATCATGAAAAAAAAATCAAACATAAATTACTTTATGTACTAATTTATTTTATATCATTTCAATCAAACAAATAACTTAAAACCTCATTCAGAACTAGAAAACGATTCCAAGAACGCCATTTGTATTTCTTGTTCTTCATTAGATGAAGAAGATAAAAAAGTGTTTTTTATAACTCGCTCTTTCAGCATTTCAATTATTATATCTTGCTCGATGAAATTGTTTTTAAATTTAATTTTTACATGTTCACAACATTTTGTCCAATCCTCTGCACTCTACTTCACAAAACTTCTTCTCCTTTTAATATTTTTCTAACCTCAGAGATTCTCTTCCTGCGCTGAAATCAATATCTTGTGGAAGAATTTGTAACAGTTGCATTACTGTTGGAATTTCCTTCCAAACTGTATAGAATTCCTTTACTTTATTCCAAATCAACTGTATATCGAAACTGTCCAAGTTGATTTTCTTCTTCCATCATTCGATGTGCCCTCAGCTACGATTCGCCGTACTGGAAACCCAATTCCAGAATGGAAAGTAGTCACAATTAAGTACCGAAGAAAAATAATCTAAAAGTATCAAAACCACTCCATCCAACTTACCGGTCAACTCTATACGCGCTTTAAAATCAAAGATTGAGTTTGATTAACACCTTCCCCTTCCTTTATTTCACAATAAATATTGAAAACAATATTTCTCACTTGAGATAGAAGTGGCTTTTTCGACATTTTCACATAAACAACTAATTTCTAGAAGATAATCCCAAAATCTCAGCAGCGGGTGACAGATCTCGTACTTCGATTTGACGGTAGACACTTGACATTGCCATGAAAATATCTTTTTTTTTTAAATATTATGGCAACAGCATATAATTTTTTTATTTTTATTTTATTCCATGAGATTCCGGTAGACCTATGCGACATGCGTATAATGCGACTTGCAATAAGGTTGCGTTAAACGTTTAACGCTGCTGGAGAGGGGGAATAGAAAGACAGTGAGAGTGAATGCTTCCTATTTTCATTCCACATTACGAAGTTTCACTTCCACTCGGAGGTCGCCGCGTGGAGCCCGCACAATTTTTTTTAGTTGTGACCATAATGATTGTGTGCATATAAATTTTGTTGTGAGTTGACGTGCGTTTTCCAATTACAGAGAATTATGCGACTCAGTGCCAAACAATGCCGCATAATGCTGAAGCTTAATTGGAACGTGAATTAGTTTTCAAATGCATCAGCAGAGTGCGCTAAGTCAGTGTTGTAAAAAAAATGTTATGAATTGAGTTAGCAACCTCATTAATGTATAAATAATGTGGTAAACAATAATAATTGGTTGAAAATTTTTTACGCTTATTTTAATCATCAAATTATTTCATTAACATTTTTTTTATTGAAATAATAGAAAACCTTTAAAGAATATAAGGTTTTAACAAGCTAAATTAACAGTAAAATATTTACAATCAATTGGAAACTATAGGACCAAACATACATGAGGCTCAATTCGGCTGCCGGAAACATAGGTCAACGATCGACGCAATTGCGCGCCTACGAAGCGTCTGCGAGGAGCAGGTGTCACGGGGCAGAGTGGTTTTCGCGGTATCGTTAGACATCGCGAACGCTTTCAATTCCTTACCATGGGACTGTATCGCGGACGGCCTGCGCCACCACGGCTTACCGGCCTATATAAGAAAATGTGTAGCATCGTACATCAACGGCCGCCGTGTTATCTTCCCGAAACAAAATGGCATAGGGAGTCACCTCATCAAGTGCGGCGTCCCACAAGGTTCGGTTCTTGGCCCCCTTCTTTGGAACATAGGTTACGATAGGGTGCTGCGAGCGAAACTAGTCCCTGGAGTGTCAACTATATGCTATGCAGACGACACCCTCGTGGTCGCTATTGGAGAAGATTTTAAGGAAGCGCGCCTCCGAGCGACAGCTGGAGTAGCTAGGGTGGTTTCTGAAATCAAGAAGCTCGGCCTTGTTGTCGCCCTTCAGAAATCAGAAGCTATATGCTTCTACGGCCACAGAAAAGCTCCACCTCAAGACGCAGACATCATTGTCGGCGGAGTAGCTATCCGGGTCGGTACCACGCTCAAATACCTTGGGCTGATTCTTGACCCACGGTGGACTTTCAGACCACACTTCGTGGCACTTGCCCCTAAGCTCACCGCCACCGCAAACATGCTCTCGCGCATAATGCCAAACCTCGGCGGGCCGAGTGGGGGGTGTCGCCTCTTATACGCTAATGCGATCCGGGCAAAAGCACTGTACGGGTGTCCCATATGGGCCGACAAACTGACCGGGTACAATCGCACAATACTCAGGCAGTCGCAGCGAGTGGTCGCTGCCAGGGTTGCGAGGGCGTACCGCACTGTGTCTTATGACGCAGTGTGTGTTATAGCCGGTACCGCGCCATGGCATCTCGATGCGGCTGCTTTTAGCGAAGTATATTGGAGGAGGGCCGAAGCTCGGGATAAAGGGGATAACCCCACACTGGAACAATTAAACGCGTGGCGAGCCTTAGAAGACCAGGAATTGTTAGTAGAGTGGGAAAGCGAGCTGGCGGGTGCGAGTGCCGGTAAATATACTACCGAAGCCCTCAGACCTTTGCTTCAACTTTGGGTAAAGAGGCGCTGGGGTCACCTCAGCTATCGACTTGTGCAGATGCTGTCCGGACACGGATGCCTTGGTAGTTATCTGCACAAAGTAGTAGGGTGTGAGGAGTCACCAACCTGTCACCACTGTGTCGGAGACAACCGGGACGACGCCCTGCATACACTGTTCGGAAAGAAACCGAACACC